TTTAAAAGCTAGTGTGAACCCTGATTACTATATGTATATTATATATGTATATATCACTTACTTATGTGTATACCAAATGTCATAAAAATTGGCCACAATCAGATTGACAAATTACAGAAAATTATGGCTTTATTTTTTTTTGGCCCACCCTGTACTTGCACAATAAGTCCTAATGCCAGGGGAGAACTGGTATCAAGCATGAATACAAACTGGGATTGCTAAAGTACTCATAGAGACCTTTCCATTAAATAAATTGCTATAGAATATATTAAGAAAAAGAGGAACCATGGAAAAGTCCATTGTGACTTGTCACAGCACACAATCCTATGCAGGTAGTATTAATAATAAGTTTCTTTAATGAATAAGACTCACAGAAGAAATGTTAAAATTCTCCTCTAAAAAAGGAAAAAATCACGTGCAAATGTTTTCAAGTAGAATAGAAAATAACTGGCACTCATGAGAAAATCATCTATTTTTGAGAAGGCAAAGCATGGCAACAGAAGAACTGAAAATTTTAAAAATATCTCATATTAGTCAGACCAACAAGTATTAATTCTGCCTCTTGTCTATTGTTCTATTGAAAGTAGAATTTGATTTCCTACCATTGCAAGATATATAAATGAATGAATAATAATTCCCATATTGAATGCAATTTAAACTAGCACCAAAGAATCAGGAAGCACTTAGAATTTCTCTTGTGTGAAGGCAAGTAGATGAGAAGCACCTTCCTCATATGACCTAATGGAACAGTATTTTGCAGTTGTCCAACTTCAGTTTTTCTTTTCAAACCCAACATCATAAAAGAGTCTTGTCGCTAAAAGAGAGACAATTTAGTAGGCAAAAATGGGATGTTAGCAAGACCTGGAATCCCTGAATGGTGCGATAGTGTGAGTCAAGGAAGAGCTGGGCCAGGGCACAGACTTGAGCAGTGCGATCCCAGCCATCACTGCAGTGGACGAGTACAGAGATCCCACCTGCAACTGCTTTGGCCACAAACCACCCTGTCTCTAGGATGGATTTGATATGCTTGAGCCACCCACTGCTTGCCAACCCATCCAGGAATGAGCTCATGGAGGGGGACTTCAGTTCACATGCTGAAAGAAAACCATAGAAGCAATACCTTTTTCTTAGTATTTAACCAGATTGAGAAGGAATTTCATTAATTAACCTGATGACTCCTGAGATTTTTTTTCTATCTCTTATCATTCAATAAGGCTTGAAGATTTGCTCTTTAAAGTCTTTCTCAAACACCACTGCTTTCCAGTCATCTACTTATTCAGGACTGTATCATCACCAGCAGCAGGCATGACTCTAGAGGGGGCTACAGGGGCTTGAGCTCTCAGCAATTTTTTCTTTCCATCTTACAAAAAGCAATTGAAGCACACATTCTAATCCAAGTTTTAGAATCGAGCATTCCATATAAAAAATTATGGCTGGCTTTCAGCAGTGGCAGCTCATGATATTTTGTGCTAGTGGTTCATCTATGGAGAGGAGAGACTAATTTCTTTCAAACATAAAGACTTATACATGAGTGCAAAGATCTTGAGAGACTAATTATATTGCATGGAATCATCGCATCTACTTGTCACAACAAGTTTTCCTCTGATCCTGGCTATGGGACTTCAGAGGAATCCATGGAAACCCCTATAGGATTCTTTAGAAGTTGTTATGATTCCATTGCAACCTCTTTAGAGAATTCTATAGGATACCACAGAAGTTCCTATTGAACCTTGTGTAGAGGGATTCTCCAGAATCCTTCCTAGAATCTCTTTAGAAGAGACTAAAGACTTCTGCATATAATTCTATTGGGAAACCTATAGAAGGGATTTTGTAGAAACCATAGAACCACTACAGAAATCCCAAGAATAGTTGGACATTTTTTTCAGATAAAAAAAGAAATTGGCTGTTTCTCTTCAAACCATAATCAAATTAAATTAAAATGACAGTTACCTGACCAATAAATAAAAAAGATATTGCAAGCAAGATTGATTAACTTAATGATAACAGATTTTGCATGTTTTTTCCTGAATTGACTTGTGTCAATGATAACAGCAAATTTGTCAATACAAACTGATGGAAGGAAATCAATAAGAAGAGATTGATGCTCCTGCACTACATTCTAGATGGTCAAGTACATCTACTCTCCTACAGATTGCCAGCTGGAAATGATATGCTGAGTTCCAGCTTGTCAAACCCATCTACTACCCAGCTGGTGACAAGCTGGAAAATATAGCTGTTTCCAGCCTGATTTTAAACTGGGCAGTTGCTCTGCCAATAAGATATTGCTGTGCATAATGCATACCAGGAAGATACATAATACAAACTGTCCTGGCAAATATGTAACTGCTATCATGCAGTTTCAGAAGTTTACCTTACCTTCTAGAAGCTTGGCCAGGCTGCTTCTCATAACATGAATGTTCTCAATGGACATGAACTGGAACTTGATGTTCGCATAAAAATCCTCCTTCTCATAGCCCTTCCCAGCAGCCCGGTTGACAACTGCATTGATCTAGAGAAAGCCAACACCACCTCAGAATCATTACTTGACATGTTGGTGGACAGTTAAATTCTTCTTTAACCCCTTAAACACACTTGGCACACCTGTATGCATCATGGAAGAATCATGCAACTGATACACGATGCTCACTGATTACTCACAGTATGTGCTCATGGGGGAAACAGTATCAAGAGAGGAAGCAAAGTCAGTGGCAATAGCATATAAGTAGAGAACTTTAGCAGAAACAAGATATTATTTTATTTAATACAAATTTCTGGCATGAGGGCAAGAAATTGTCCAATACCTGGTGTGTTCAAGGGGTTAAGGGATGAACCAATTCTAACAGCCAGTCTGTTGAAAATCTGCAAACTGAGCATTGGCTCTGTCAGTGTGAACCAGTAGGTCATCTGACATTACACCTATTTCTTTTTTATACTCATTAATGGTGACATGATAGGCTAAATTTTCTTTTTGAATTGCACTTTGAGAAATTCAAATGTATCAGAATGAATAGGAACAACTAAAATTACAACACTAAAATGCTCTCAGTATACCCTATAAGTAGCCTTCATTGAAGCATAGAAATGGCCAATTCATTGGCTGACTTTTCCTAACCAGTTGATATTGAGGGATTGGTCAATACCCGCTAGGCTAATGCATCGGTAAAACTGGCAGAAAATTGGCTGTCAAACGTGACTGATGCATCCAAAAAATGTTCTCTGGGGGAACTGACCATTGGTCGTGTGTCAACGACATACATGAAGTCAGCATTGGGGTTGGCATGTAGGATGCAATTGAGTAAATGCTCATCTTCCATGCACCTGGCACTGAATCCCACAAGGGGCTGGCTACACCGACATATTGAAGCCTACAGAAGTAAGACAAATGGCTTGTAAATCCCAAAAATTCAAGCAACTGGAAGAAGTGGGATTGAGACTGCGGTGAATGGGACCTTGTTTCTATAGACATAGGAGAGGATGGGGAGGCGGCCTCGACTGCGAAATTTGGAACTGCCCACAAGGACAGGGGTAGATGCAGAAGATGGGACATACAAGATCCTGGGGTATGTATCACAGAGCTGAAATAATAAGACATTCAACAAGTAATCAATAATCATCCTTCACTCACTTAAATAACCGGAAACCAATGCTAAGGCAACATGGTTGAAAGCAGTTTTGTTAACTTGACCAGTTTGACCAAAATCTGTCAAAAAAAAAGCATGAATTACATTTCTGCATGAGAAGAGCATATGTGATAATAAGTGATAAATGATAAGCCCAATGGAAGCAGTAGCTGTTGCATGCCTTGCTAAAGCAGGTAAACCTGGATAAACTGCCTTATGCCCCGTTTAGACAATCAAACACGTTTGACATAACATGTATTATCCCACAGCTTCATCACACGGTTAAAATGCTGCAAGAAAAACTGAGCACATATTACGATTTTAGACGTTCAAAGATTGCACCAATGGACTGGACTGAGTTTAGGGGAGCAGGTGAAATTAGAATGACCATAATTTGTGTATTACTCACTTCAGCATCTGTGTGAAGGCATTCCAAATTCCAAATTCACCATTATTTGCAGTTTCACATCCTCTTTTATTACTCCCAGATATACTTTCTTCACAACATTAACAATCCAAGAGTTGGTTTTCATTCTTATCTCTTGTCCCACAACACATTTTATTGGAACTGGCTTTCTGTATAAGTTTTGATGCGTTCACATTGCAAGGATTTGTCTTTGGTATCCATTACAACCAAAGGCCTGAAGGAAAAAACCTTAAGAAAATTATTGATAAAAGCGAAAGTAGGAGAGGGGGGTCGTGTAATTGAAATATGACAGGTTATACAACAGCTAATCGAGTACGGAGGCGATAAGATACCTCATAGTCCTTGTTGATGTTGCTGAGCGTCCAGTGCTCATTGGGGATGCCAAAGCGCTGATACTCCGCCTGGAGGTCGAAGAAATTCCAGCCGATCCCCCGACACAACTCCTGGTCCGGGGATGTGTAATGGAAGCAATAGAGATCCTCCACATTCACTGGCTGAGAGAGTTGGCAAAGAGAAGTGTAGATGTTGTGGCAATCCCGCTCTTTGGGGATGATGAACGTGACGATGAGGAAGGTCTTGCAGCGGATGTGCAGCGGGCAGCCGCTCGTGCTCAGGCTCAGCTTCTCCACCGATCCGATATGCGAATGCTGGATCTAAACGTATCAATAAACACATCAAACAGCTTTCTAATATGGACAATAGCGGAAGAAATGGAACCACTACACAGCAATCCCCCGAATAAATTCAGTTATGGTACGACCGCTTGCCCCGCCTTGCCAGAAAATTAGTTGGAGAGCTTTCAAATCATAACGTGCATCAGACACCAGTTGTTACTGGCACCAACGAGGTCCTGCAAGTCTAGACATTAAGAAACTACCAGAAGATGGCTCCATCCATCACAGGCATGGACGCAAGGGAGTGTAAAAGTCACAAATATATTTTTATGTTCTCAGAGCCGGCTTTGAAGGTGAGACTAACAGTGGCGAAATAGTTCAACCCCTCCACTTTTCATGTTTAGATGTCGCTCCCAAAGACCTCTGCCCTAGAACTATTGATACATAGGAGTAGTTCCCCCGTCTTTATTTTCTCGAGGGCGAAAGAAACGCTGCGGCACGGGCGAGGGTAATTGAAAAAGTAAGCGAGAAGCAACGAGGGGAGAAGGCAATCAAAGGAGCCCTGAGATGCGCCCCCCAGTCCTCTCCGTCCTTTTTCTTTCTCCTCAATTTTCCCGAAATTCGATGCTAATCAGTGCAGCACAGTCGGAGCATCCAGGAATGAAAGGAGGCAATCCCGTCATTTCAACCCCCCGCGATGCGGGTCACCCGTTCGGAAAATCACAACCACACGGCCAACGGAATTCACAATTCGATTTTGATGGAGGGAGACGCGGTTCGCATCCGCAATGATTCCGTATTATCCAGGTCGGATAGTTCTCACCGTCACACATAGATAATAAAAAAAATGGGGTTATTAAAATTTCGATCAAATTATTATTATGTGCACAATTTCACATTAACATATTTCATAAATTGTCCACACTTTTACTGTGAAACTCGTTACGTCATTACGGATGGACTCCCATTCGTGTAGAACATTACGTGTAAGGTTCTACTGATTTCCCTCTTTAGTTTCATATCAAGGGTAAAGTAGCAATATCTACTCGTAGTAACCGACATTTAAAAATTTTTATATGATAAGCATTCACAAAAGAGTGATCACAGTGGCAGTTTCTTTATCTTTCCACGAGCAACATTGTAATTCTGAGTACTTCGATAGGCAAGTTTATTCTATGCCTGAGTCAAACTTTCGCTTTGGACCTAATGTAATTTATTTATTTTTTTAAATAGACGATTGAATCAACTGATCAAATATGACTTTATCCAAAAGAGAGGCAAAGGGATGTCATAACATTTATTTACCCATAAGGGCAATATTGCAGCAGCATTCAGAAGCCGTTTGATGAAGTCTGCGGAAGGTTTCCCTTTGTTCCCACTCGTGCTCCTCGGCCCCCCAGGAATTTTTATTGTTATTTTTCAGATGCGAAGTATTGCCATTGCAAACACGAAATGGAACCACTTTGAATTTTAAAAATGTTTGTTCGAGAACCTAACCAACGCATACATTGCACGGTTTGGAAGTCGATTGGGTTTACTTTCAGCGTCTCCCTGGTTCTCTCCCTCAGTGCACCCCCACGACAGGACAAGATCCGATTTACCCAGGTCTCCTTCTTGTTGTCCGGATCCACGAAGATGAGATGAGTGGCGGTGAGATAGAGCGTCCCCATCGACACCTTCCGCCGGTTGTATCGATCCACCAACCGCACGTTCTCCACCTGTAAACAACCCCCGACAAAAGACTCTGTCACTGGATACACCGATCATGCTGATACCGCGGATGATCGCAAAGGGGGGGGGGGGGGGGGGGGGTTCGATGGGGACGCTCTATCTCACCGCCACTCATCTCATCTTCGTGGATCCGGACAACAAGAAGGAGACCTGGGTAAATCGGATCTTGTCCTGTCGTGGGGGTGCACGGAGGGAGAGAACCAGGGAGAGGGGGGGATGAGAGGTCATAAAGTGGGGGATGAGTTGACCGATTCCCCTTCGGCGAACGTCACCGATCCCATTTATCATCTGCAGAGAAACTCATTTCCCTTAGATGGAGCTCATTACCCTTTGAGCCTTAGACAGGCTATGGTCTGCACAAGGATGTCTAATTTATGGCACTTTAGGCACGCCATGCCGTGAGTGACGGCAATCCGAGTTCATGTTGATGCATTGCATCGAATAGTATTCGGTTGGCAGTTCTGCTCGTGGGGGATCGAACGGGAAAGGAACATGATGGGATGCGTGGATCGAATGGTTCAAATCTAAATAGTCCATTTTCACAATGGAGTTCTATGAGAACAACACTAACTCAGTTGAGTGAAGTCTTACAGGAACCTATTATAAACCCGTATTCACATCCAAGAATCTGATGCGTGATACCTAATTTCCCACTCCAGAACCGCAAACCAAAGAGCGTTGACACGACTTCCGACGAAAACACTAATCGCAGACCTAGGCGCAAAAGACTAGTACCTCAGCCCTCGCAGCAAAACGCAGCAACAAAGCAAAACCTGTTGCGGCACTGCGACTGGAAGCAGACGAGACAGACCCGTGGTCGAAGAAGGCGCGAGCCCTGAAAGAAGAGGTCCTTGGGGGAAAAGCAAGCATCCAGGCTGAGGAAAGATCTGAGAGCCCTCCTCATCAGCCCCTTCCCTCTCCCTTCCTCGCCCGTCCACATCGTCCGCTCGTCCTAATACGCACTGAATACCAATTGATCTAGGAGGCCGGAAGCGAGCACCTACCCGGAGCAGCGCCGCGGAGGGACTGGGGCGGATCGAATGGAATCCCTCCTTCCCCTAAACCTCCTCTACCCTCCTGATGCTTGTCGGCTCACTCGCCCCCGCTTCGTGATAGCGAGTCCTCTTGCCCTTCGGAATGTCCTTGGGGAAATCTTCCCCGCAAACTTAATAATATGCAATTCCGATATACGCTCGAACCGGAGACGATCAGACCCTGCGATGCAACCAACAGCGGGCGGGCGAGAGAATAGGGGGAAAAGAGGCGTTATTAAGAGCAATACATCTCCTCTCCTGCCACCCTCGACGGACTCGATACGGAGAGAATTCCCAGGCGAGAAAACCCGACACACAACACGCATCAACGAGAAATGGGGGCAGAGCTTCGCCTTCATCCATCAGGAAGTGGGATCCACGACCCGACTCCACAATATGCATCGCGACGAAGATCCTATCATTTCTCCTCTATTCGTGTCCGCATTCAGCAATAACTTCGGGAATGTGCCAAGCTTTTCTCTACACGCAATGTCATAACTGAACTTCCGGCACTTCCTGGGACCAGAAAGTACGTGGCAACAGGGAATCTGCTTCCTCTTTCTTTTTATATGTTAAGACATTTCCCCCCGAGATCAAAAGCGACAGAACCGATCCAAACGAATGGTATCCATTGACACGAGTGTACCCTACGAGCGTTTCTTCATGTCCTCGAATATTCATACAAGGGGGGCTCCAACAAACTCACCGCCAAAAAAAAAGCACAACCAAAAAGGAGTTGGGTGATCTTAAGAAATTTTTTACACAACCTCGCACTAGTGTACCATGAAATCGATCGGAGTTGCAAAGGTGTGAGACGAATAATCGCGGAGAAAAATTGCCAAATACTCCAATTCCAATGGGGGCTATACTTATTGTCCGAAACGGTCACCTACAAGGATTTTATAGCTGAAACGAGGCAGGAAAGCTCTTAAATATGCATACAAAAGTCTTTCAACGCGTCAATGTCATAGGATGAGGCATTTTAGAGAAAACTTGCCGAATACTCGGGGAGTGAGGGAAGAGGGCGGCGCCAATGACGCCAGATTTGGTTCCCCCCCCCCCCCCCCTTAAGCTGCTTCACTTCAGGGCCGTTGCTCAGAGTCTAACTGAGAGGCAGTCCCAAGATTAAGGATCGAGTGCACAAACCTCATTTAGGGGAGATAAAGAGGCCCTTACGCTAAAGAGCTATTTTCTTCCCACAGGACTCCATGAATTCTTAAAGGATCGTTAACGGAAGGCGGTTTCGGCATTCGGGCCTAAATCTCTGAAGGCAATTTCAATTAGTTCTTGAAGCGTTCGATCTATGAGGGGTACTTGAAGTGCTTGGCATGCATCAAGTTGATGCGTGCATCAGCCTGATATGCGAGGCTGGTGCGTGCATCCCAATTGGCCTACATCGATCAAACACCAACAACTTGTTGAAATTGCCTTCAGAGATCTCATCTGGGCACTGCCTCGTAATTAGACTCTCAACTACAGCACTCAAGTAAATTGGGTCGAGGGGAAGAGGAGGGGAAGAGAAGGGTTGAGGGGAAGAGAAAAAAAATGAAACTGGTGGCCTTCAATGGTGCCCCCTCGCCCCTTTCCCCATTCCTCCGGGAATTGCCGAGTTTTCTCTGCACTGTCTCATCCCACAACTTTGAAACTTCGCTCTATTTTTCTAGACATCTTTAGGAGTTTTCCTGTCACGTTTCATCAATAAAATCGTTGGTCGCACTTCTTTTTCTGTTTGTTAATTTTTTTTTTAGACGACGAGTTCATTTATTGACACGAAAAAGAACGGCACAGACCGTAGAACCGAAACTCCAGGGACGACCGAAAGTTCCCGGAACCGACTCTTCCCAAGAGAGTCACATTGGCTTGGAAACAGCTGCAATAAAGAGGGAACCTCGTTGCCCCCTGGAGCCTGCTCGGGAGTAAACCCCCCTCCCCGAGATCTTCACCTCGCGTTCGAGGGGTTCCATCCGGTGAGGCGAGGGGGGAAAAAAAAAGGAAACCCAGGGGATCGCCTCGACTGCCGATAGGATACGCGTATTCACACTCGATTCATTCTGTCTCGCTACGGTAAAGTGAACTAAGTCTTCCTCCCCCAGTATCATAGTACAAAAGCCAACAATCAAGGGATTCTAGATCGAGTTGTACTAACTGACGCACATGGGGAAGGCAGGCGTCTACACAACGGCGAGAAAGAATCGATTTGGTCACGCGTAAGGACGCTGCACAGCTATGAATCGGCAACAGTTTCCAAACAGTTTTGCACAAACTGTCTCTCGATCGACCGGACTCAATGTTTGCATATCGTCCCACCCGAAGTAATACTGCAATAAGCCGGTTGGCAGTAGCACTCCTCCCCATCCGGTTTCGCGTGCATTCCCCACGGGGTTCCGCAAAGGCGATCCCGATTCATCCCAGTCTCTCCCGAACCGCGACATCCGACATCGAAAAGGGATCTGGAGGGCCTCGAGCTCGACTTCGATACTACTGGACCTGCACTGAACCCAGCGCTCCTTCGCGGCTGGACGCCGAAGCACGGAGGCAAAGACACGCGAGACATCCACGACTCGCTTCATCGGTCTATTTTCTCCCTAGACGTCCGACGGAAACGAGCCATCGGCCACAGCTGCCGCTGCCACGGTCACGGCTTAGACCAGTGGTTCTCAACCTTCCTTTTACTCCCATTGAACCTTCATGCATTCAATTGATAGGAAACTCAACTCATGACATGCACGTCACAGTTGACTTGAGTTCTGTACTTTTTTTTGCACTAGGTGTCTGGTTTAGTCTCATGTGCAAAGCTTCCTTGTTCTGTGATTTTTTTTTTCCGCGCGACTTCGGGCATAAAACCGGCCCCGGATGATAAGGATCGAAGTCTCGAATCCTCCCCATGCCATAGGCAACAGATGATCGCAGTTCCAAGACCTAAATCACGACGAAGACCTATTTTGCCTTCCCATCTTCACCGGTGTGAAAAATCCCCTTCTCGTCGAGGCTCATCGACCCCGTGTGTTTCCACGCAAGCGGCGTTTAAAAAACTCCTCGATCCAACACGTGACTGCAGGATCGTGGCGAGGCAACGAATGGTCACCATAATAGCTACGAGAATCTTCTTCCCAGAGATCAGTTCCTTCTCCCACGCAAGACATAATGCGTTTTGCGTCAAAAGCTTTCGGGCGTCAAGCCAAGGGGGCTGCATCGTCGAGGAAATATACAACTAGAGACTGGAATTAACGATGCACGAGGGAGTCGTCCATTTCGTGTCCAGCTGTGCAGTGACAATGAAATATATAGAGGCTGTTTTGATCCTATCATCGAGATCCTAAACGATGCACGAGATAAAACTGGGATTTTCACGAAGGGAATCTGAAAGAATTTCTCGGTTCCTTGGTGCCCAGAACGAATTCGATATCCGAAACACGAAAATATTCTCGTAACTTTCACTGAAATGCCGAGAAAATCTCATATCACTTGCGTACTTTCACCCCGTGTCACATCCAGTAAACAGAGGCGCCATCGTATCTGTTACTTATTGCCAGCCCCCTGACTCATGCGTCTGTAACAAGCCAGACTGAAAGACCTGATGCCAACTGCACGCAATTTTCGTTTGCACGATCAAATTGAAATCGAATTTTTCCCTCTTGCCGGCCTCTGCCTCCTAGAATTATCATTTTCTCTCGCCGAGATCCTCAAAATCGGGGGGGAGGGACTAATGCAGTACACCCAAGAGAAGAATCGGAGAAATAGGAAACGGATACGATTACCGATCGACAGCTGGAACGATCCCGGACGACCCGCGTCGTCAGAGGAATTCCGGTGGGAATGCCCCCGACGAGGTCACAACTTCCCGGCGCGGGAAACGACGAAACTGCTAAGCCCATCCAAACGGACTCGAATGGAGGGTCCGGCCGACTCGTGGAAACTGGAGAAAACACGGCGGCCGGCCCCCATTCCTTCCTCCTCTCTGTTGCATCAGGGACCGGAATTCACCATCCCGGTCGAGGCGTCTCATGCAAGGGCGCTCGGAAGGAGCAGCCGCCACTCCGCTCGGACCCCACGCGGAAAAAAAAAACAAACAACACGGTCGCGTGCTCCCCCACTCGCCCTGACTCTCTTCCCCCATGCGGTCACGCCCACCGCACGGCCACGCGGGTTCCCAGTCCCAACGAGACGGTCCACGCGCGGTGAACGCATTGCACGGACTGGGTAAAATTCGGTCACGTGAAACTCATCCGTGAAGATTCATCGTGTCGACCTTTCAGAGCAGCAAGTTTTGAATCTCTAAAAACAAAAATGCTACCCTCCGTCCCATCTACACCAATCTATCGTTGAACCCGCTTGCGATCCTTGCCCTTGTCCGGATTGAACGTCAAGGCCACTGCTGCTGCGACCGGGAACCACGACCGACAATTCTCATCCGCCCGAGAACTTCTAGGTGAACTGAATAGAAAAAACAAGGCTCGAGTCGGAAATGGGGATGAAGAGGAGCTCCATGGCATCCACCCTCTGTTTATCGAACGTGGAAACAAAGGTGACGTCTCCACTGCCCCCCCCCCCCCCCCCCCCCCCCCCCCCCACCCACCCCCNACGGGGAAAAAAAAAGTGCGTCCCCCCCCCCCCCCCCCCCCCCCCCCCGCCCCCCCACTCCCAGACATTCTAATCAGGACCAAGCGAAGGTCTCGAATAGACGGGAATTGACGAGGCCCTGTCCTTGCCTCAAGCTGCTATTCACACCGATTTCCTGGCAGGGGAGCCAAACGTGTACATAAAAGGGGGGAAAAAAAAGTCTAATCACACATTCCAGTCACTTCTTGCTGCTTCAGAACCTGGCAACGACAACCAAACCTAGATGCGGTGACACTACCATACAAGCGATACTTGGACGCAGTCCACCATCAGTGTTGCCATTGGCTGCACATACACTCAACTTCATTCAATTGGTGCATGGCTCTTTTTTTTCTTCATCCTATTGAAGATCAGCTTAATTAAGTATAGAATAATTACAATTGAATAAATACATTCCTAGCACAACAAGCATCACTTGCAAACTAAATTCCAATTTTGGTTTTACACAAGGATACCAGGAACCAATGAAAGAAGGCAATGAAAGATGATCATTTTGTGACTTGACATTGAAAGGAAGCTGGAAATGTAATTGAACCAATTATTGTGGAAAAGGCCTCACTTCTGTTCCTGCTACTTACTTAAAGCGAACTGCAACTTGTTATATTGCTCAAATAAGTAATTAATAATATTAACAAGTTACCTTATCATTGATTTGAAATGCCACTCTCCAGTGACCCTCTTCACCATGGTCTGCCACCAAAATGTGTCCAGGCAGCCAATACATGCATGAAGTCAACATAGACTGCACCTGATGCTGCTTTTTCCAGCATATATTTTGAGGCAGAAGGCCTATTTAACCAATTGCCTTGAATAGACTGCTTATAGAATGCTTCAGTTTTATGCAATGCAACAGGTTGTTCGTTACTCCTTGTGCCCATCCGTCTAGAAAGCACTACATACAGTGATACCTAGAAGGTATGTTGAACTTAATAACCAAGATTCATTCATTGAGTCCTGCCTGAAATCCTAAATATGCAATATCCATTTCTGTAAACAAATGATAAAGAGTTCTAGCTTGACCCAAGATCAAAACATTAGCCACTATGAAACCAACATGTGTTTCCCCAATTGTGAGAGGTAGCATTGTCAACATTGATATAGACAGCAAGCATAGATCTACCAGGCAGTCTATATTGGATAAATACTAATTTGCATTAGTTTGATGCCAATATTACATAACTGTTGTCAGCAATTGATTCAATATTGACCCAATATTTTGATCCACACACAGCAAACACAACCCTCTGTTGAGGTGCTGCTGGAGAAGCAAATAGGAACCATCTCTCATCCTCCCTACTACAGCCTGCAGCATACCTATTCTTTATGTTCCCACAAACTTTTTTCGAGGATGAGTGGAACCAATGAAAGCTAAAATCCTTTCTCTCTGGGTAGCCCCTATGTCTACAATGTGCGGGGCTCATTGACTGCACCTGCACATCGCAAAGGAGTGTTACGGTGGTTTTCGATCGATCGCACCCCTTCTATCGTTGTGGAAGTGGGAATTTAGTCATTCCTACTTCAGGCACTGATTTAACCAGAAGCAGCTACGTTGAGACAGTTGATGTCACTCAGTTGGATGGGATGTGGCGTCATTCAGAAGGGGATAAGGGGGTGCAATCAATCGAAACCATTGTATATGTGCCCAAGGTACCTTGATTCTGGAGTAGAGCCCGCAAGAATTCCTATGCGAATGGGTTTCGTGAAATAAGGAACAAATCTCTCTATGATGGACTTTCGGGTCTCTGCGTTTGGTCTTATTCTTGGACCTGAACTACAACCAGATCTTTCAAAAGAACGAGTTTGACGTACCTTTGGTGTTTTTATTACATCCATTTCCGGGCCTGCACCTGACGAACGAGCTCACAATCTGCTTCACTTCAACGTCGTCGGTGTTAGCGACGAGAATCATGTTGCCATGGAGAGCGCCATCTCAACAGCATGTCTGCCTTCTTGTTGTGATTCGTCTATTAGATCATTTGTTCTTATCTAGTACCGTTTAATAACCGCGTCGTGGGAACAGACACGGCTTAGTGTTCCGCGTCCTTTCTAGGTGGATCGATGTGGTGGTGAAATGTCTTCGAATCAAGGCAATCTGGGCGCTTTCAACTTTAAGGTGGTTCTACTGGGTGAAGGGTGCGTGGGGAAGACCTCCGTCGTGCTGCGATATATCGAGGACAAGTTCAACGACAAACATATCAGTACCATCCAAGTAAACACATTAGGCCTAGTCTTTAACTTGAGTTCTATACTTTTTTTATGACTCTGACACTGGTGCATGGCTGTGCCCTGAGATGGGTATTTGAGTAAGGACATAGGTGTAGACCTCAACTGAAATCAGCATCCTAGTTTTTCAGCTAAATATTAATCATGGTCCACGATTCATGGACAGTGGCTTCAGTCATTGGCAGTGGCTTAGTCAACTTCAGGCTGAGGACTGGACCTACAGTTCACTCAGGTTGATGTCAATGACAATCTTTGGATTTGCTTGCTTCTTATTCTGCTCATATGAAAATTCCATTGTAAAACCCCTATTTCCAATCCAAAAAGTAAATCCAAAAAATTTACAGGCATTTTTTAATTGAATAGATGAAAAATCAATCACAGTATCATTTTCATGTACTAGTATATGATTCCTTCTCATCAGGCCTCATTCCTAACAAAGAAGTTAAACATTTCTGGGAAGAGGATTAACCTGGCCATCTGGGACACAGCAGGACAGGAGCGTTTTCATGCCCTTGGCCCCATTTATTACCGCGACTCTCATGGTGCCATTCTTGTCTACGACATCACAGATGAAGATTCCTTCCAAAAAGTAGGCATGCTACTGTTTTTGTGGATGAAATTGGTGTCTCTTTATTTCATGGTTTTTGCATCTGTCTTAGGTCAAGAATTGGGTGAAAGAGCTGAGGAAGATGCTGGGCACCCGAGTATGTGTGTGCATTGCTGGAAACAAGGCAGATCTTGAAAGAGATAGAGTTGTATCCAGAGAAGAAGCCTCAAGGTGAACCTTCATATACAAAAGGAGGAAAAGTAACTGTCAAGGATATTTCAAAGTAATATCATTTTTCTGCAGGTATGCAGAGTCAGTGGGTGCAAAGCACTATGATACCTCAGCCAAGCAGAACCACGGCATTGAAGAGATGTTCTTGGACTTGAGTCAAAGAATGGTTGAAGTGGCTGAACAGAATGAGCAAGGGCAGGCTCAGCTGCGACCCTCTGGAAGCACTGTACAAGTGATAGATGACTCTGAGAAGCCTGAGAAAACGGGTTGCTGTAGCTGAAAGGGTGTGATTGACGTTCCTTGCTTATTATGGTGATTCCACATTTTGTCAATATTTTCTGTTTGCTTCCAGGGGGACAACTGTGTCTGTGCTATTGTGATAAATATGGGGGGAAATGTGCTTCTGAGCAGCACTCTGCTAGCCTAGTCATCTTATATGCACTGGAAATGAAATGTTGCTCCTCACAGTAATAACCTTTATTTTCTCTCTCTCCTACATTCACTACACATTCTCTTTCTTCCACTTTGTCAAGAGAAACTCTTGTACAAGATGAAGGCAAGTCCTTGCATAAATAAATAACATGCTTGAATTCCTCTTCATGGACAACACAATTTGTGATGTTGCCTTGTCAGTTACAGGAAATTTCAAAATGCTATTAATTTATGCAAGGACTTCAATGGATAAATAAATAACATGCTCAAATTCCTTCTGACAGACAAGGCACCATCACTGAATGGATTAAGCAAGGCAGAGATAAACATCTGATGGGCACTTGAAGACATCGAGATTCCATTCCACAGGTGGAGGATGGGGAGGGTAAGTACAGAGCTGCCAAACTAGGAGAAATGCCATTTTTATGCAACCTAGGAGATGAGCACTCTACTTTGGAGAAATGTCTTTTGTTCCAATGATAGAAGAGTGAAAAAAAAAATCACAGAACAAGGAAGCTTTGCACATGAGACTAAACCAGACACCTAGTGCAAAAAAAAGTACAGAACTCAAGTCAACTGTGACGTGCATGTCATGAGTTGAGTTTCCTATCAATTGCATTGCCAACACTTAACACAATTCAGAGTTATACATATCACATCAAACAAAAGCGAGCCTGCTATCCTGGAAAGACTTCTCTTATACTTTTTTCGTGCTCCTTTTTTTGAGCAGAGAGAGAGAGTGTAGGTAAGGCACAAAGGATGGAAGATGCAGATGAACAAGGAGAGACAGAACTCACTGGACCACTCACTATAAAAAAAAATTTCCAGACAAGAAGAAATGATTAAAAAAAACTGTTTCTTCGAGATGCACTCAGTCCAAACATGACTAGAGCCTTCGTATAGAACCCATCATCTCACTCTCACTGACACTAGATGGGATCCAGAGCACATCTTGCAGGAACAGTTGAACTTGTGCCTTTCCTTCCATCACAAACACGAGAGGGGAAAAATAAAACCGCGGAAGAGACGAGAGGAGGACATCGATTTCGGCACTTTCTTGGGACAGGAAGAGGAATATGAAAGACAAAGTATGCTCTCACAGAGATGAACTGACCAACTGATGGAAACTCAATAGTGATTACAAGAAAAAATCACCAGATGAGATGGCAGCTTCCAGCTACTTCACTGTAAAAAAAAATCTGTACACGCAGAAAAAAAAGAAGATATGGATGAGAGAAGCACTCCACGCGAAGAGAGTGAGTCACCAACGTCTGCTACTTGGATAACTTGCTGATGACCCTTATCAATGCACCATTTTCATCCCGCAGTCGCTGGTTTTCCACCTTCAACTGTTCCAAATGCTGCAGGGGGAGAAAACATGCATCAACATCTTCACAAAATTACAGTAATAAAAAACCTAATATGGATTCAGGTCATCAGGCTGCATCATGAATCATTGTCATCCTACATCGTACATGCTCTAAGAAAGTACTGTAAATGATGGAGTTAGACATCGGTCTAATATATATGACATTCATCATGCATCACGTCCCAAGAGGGTGAATCTCATACGTGACAATGACTCTTAACTGACAGGATGGAGGAAAGAGACACTTCAGAAGACGATTTTGATCCTGTCCCCCTTGTTTCACCATCTCATCCCTTTCTCCTCTTCCTTTAGTAATTCCTCAACGTCCTTTGACATCAGACCATCAGTAAAGTCTTTCCGGGGGCACAGAGACGGAGAAACACACAACCCCACTTGAAAAGCCGGCAAAGAGGAGTCATGCAGCAAAAACAAATTCTCCTCTATTAGCAAGTCACACCCAGAAACTCAATCTGAATCTGTTAATGATGAGGCCAAATTGCGATCTCGGAAACAAAAGACGACGGGAGGCAGGCAAATAAAAGCCAAGACCACACGATGCGGCCAAAACAGTTCTTGCCTCTAGATCATTGGGGGGAATCGTCCTTCCCGTTTTCTTCTGCCTTGGTTGCCGTTACACTCTGATTACTGGTTAACTTGGAGACCACCCGGGTCAAGGCCCGGTTCTCGGCCTTCAACTTTTCGTTCTCGGCCTTCAGTTTTTGCAGTTGCTGGAAATCACGGCCCAAACCCAGGTCACTATCCTAAAAAATTTTTTAAACATTCTATCACTGCTTCTCTCGGCAGTCGAGGCTCACCTTCAATTCCTCTTCCATTTCTGACAGCTTCCTCTCCAGGGCTCTCTTTTCTCTCTTGTCCACATCCGAGAGGGAATTCCTTGCGGAGTTCTGCACGGTAACAAATTATCATGATGAGTGACGCTCGCAAAAAATATATATTAATTTAAAAAAAAAGTGCCAATGAGGTTTACCATCTGCAGGGCCTTGTCCAGCTGGGACCTGGAACTAGAAAGTTCATCGTCGGCTTTCCTTAACCGCTCCTTCAGTCTCTCGTTTTCCACCATTGCTTCCTCGTACAACTGCGTATCAAGCCATTCATCGGATTTAATTGTCTCAGCTGTCCCTATACGTGGCTGACATGGACCAAAATATCACGCGGTAAATAGGCTGCAATTTCTTGACCACGTCATCTAATTAGGGAACTGTGAACAATTTTCTACAGTAACAAAAAGGGTATAATTAGAGATGAAAAGAAATCAATGACGAGCTAGGAAGCTGTTAGGATCGGGCCGACATGAAAAGATGTTCCTCTATGCCCAACAGGCAGTGACAAGAAATATTTTTCTCTTCTTTGTCTGCCATGACAGCAGCTAAGGGAAGGGGATGTCAGATGGGTTCATCCTTGGATCGCTCTTGCGACCTCACCAGTCATTCCAATCTCCGTCGCAGCTGTCGCGCGAGATATCGTCAGAGGAACCAAGGTTAAGGATGACCGGGACGGCAGACGGAAAAAAAAAAACGGGATCTCAGCTTCCTCACCTTCTTGTAGTCGATCTCTCCGTTCTCCTGGCCCCGGCTCGGCGGTCGGGAGTCCCCGGCAACGCTTGGCGGAGCGGACGTGGTCGTCGACAAGCCTCCATAGCTCCGGTCCCGGTTCGACCGGATGCTCCCCGTCCCTCGCTCCGACAGGTTCTGCAACGGGCCATTCATGGCCATATCATCCGAGTTGGTATAAAAGGAAAGGATGAAATAAGTCAAGGGTCAAAGTCATTCGAGACCCATCGCTCCATTGTTCGTGTGCGAAACGGAGCACCCGTTTCATCATGCTCGGGTCGTATATCCTCAAGCCAAGGCCAGCGAGGATTCTTATCGCAGCGCACCGAATCCACTCGAGAAGATATGGGTGAGAAGACAAGAGAAAATGATGACTGGCCTGTTTATACTATCCCAACCAAAACATACAGCTCATAAGTTTACCTTCTTATCAACATATTGCGATGAAAAATAAATATAACGATGCTAACCATTTTAAAGCTGCTAAAAAAAAAACAACAGGTCCATATAAGCTGAAGGAGTTAAAGCTAAACAAGTTCATTAACCAAAGAAATACAATTCCATCGACCAGAATACCGCCCCAGACGCGACGCCTGCATTCCTCACCGAATAAAGGAATGCCATTTTCTTTAGATTTGCAGCTCAACAGGTATTCTTCGCCCCAGGACATATAACACAGACTATAGCGACCGGCAGGAATGTTCTCAGTCCTTACAGATCCGGATCCATATCCCTCGGAGCCCTTGAAGGAGCGCAGCGATCCAAGCGATGCCAGAGAGGATCCCAGCGAGAGCGATGCGGACGTGGCCGCCCCCTTGTACCGACTACCCGCTCCGACTCCCACTGATCCCATCAAGGCTGGCACGTTGGACGCCGAGGCACTGGTCCCTATCTTCCCTGGCCCACTCAGGAGACTCCCGTACGACCCTCCCCGGCTCGGACTCGAATAGGACCCCGAGGAGGTGGCATAGAGTGAAGAGGGCGTGAAAGAAGACGAGGAAGGGAAGGCGGACCCTGCCATGGCTCGAGACGAGGTCAACGGGATGGGGATGGAATAAGGATTATACGAGGACGTCGTGCTCCGAGGAGAGGCGGAATAGGCTCCACTTGACGAATAAGGACTCGAGGACGAGGCGTACGAAGAAGAGAAGGGGCTGGTCGACGAGGAGTAAGGGATCGAGGACGAGGAATAAGGGACTGAAGACGAGGAATAGGGCAAGGAGGAGGAATAAGGCTTGGACATGGAGCTGGAGGCATAAGACGACGAGGGCGAGGGCCCGAGCCGACTCCACAGGTTCTCCCCACCGTATCCCCCACTGTTCCCCGAATGCGACATGGATGATCGAGAGGCACAGACACAAAACCTGGAAAACGTGTTCCTACTACGTTCAGAGAGGATAGAATGAAATGGGGTGGAAGGGGAACCAGCTCCGGACGTGATGCTAATCGTAGATGTCCTGGGTGTTGCAATATTCTAGCGTACACAGGCCGTGGTAAAACTTCAGGCTTTCACTCACTCGCACACCTCGACGCACTCACCTGCTTATTTCCATACAGTACTCGTCTATCTCCTTTATACGGTACACGTCTATCCCCCTCTCGCGCTTCCCCTCCCCCCCACTTCCAACGCCCCCGCCGTCCTACTATTCAATGAGGACACTCGTGGACGCGACTACCGTGACGAGCATGACTCTGCATTCTGATCGCGAGAAGGAAAAATCCCCACGGTTGGGTAGTCCCGAGGGAGGAGAAGGAAAGAGGGAAAATCTCTGATCCATCCAAGCCGTGGGAAAGAAGCCGGAAACCTGAGTACTTCCCAGCCCACAGATCGGACAGAGACTGCGGGAGAACAGAGATAAAACAGAGAAGGAAGAAGCAGCGAAGTGGAAGCACGTGTGTCAGGCTCCTGCCTCCCTATGACCGAAATAGCACTCGAGTGAAGGTAGGAATATAAAAACGCTGGGGTAGGAACTGGGAAGGGAGCCACGTCCATCGAAGCCGAAGGAATCATTCTCTGCATCGACGACGAAGAACCCATGCCAAGATCGCTTCCGAGAGATTTCTTTATTTTTTTTATTTCTCCCTCTTCTTGCTTACACCATCTGCTCAGTTCAACGCCCGGACGAATTTGCAGGCAATGGGATGATTTGCCAAGAGAAAGCTCCAGAGAACAGTGACGACTGACAGTACAAAACGTACCGTACCCGTTCAGTTACGCAATCGCGAACGGAGAAACAAACCTTCGACCTGACGTCAGCGCGAGTTCGACAGCGATGAAGATTAAACGAGAGATTTCGCTTTTATCAACCAATCAATCCTTCACTCCATGTCTTCCAGAAAAAATACAAGAAAGGGTCCGGATTTCCTGACAGAAGGTCGACAGGGGCAACAAAATGAAAACCAGATGGGACAAGAAACTAAAGAAGAGTGGGAGGAAATCGTTTCCTAACGACTAAGTAACGAAGGTTTCATTTCAGACAGTCAACCTTGACCTCTGCCAAAAATAACCACGGCGCAAAAAAAAAAGCGAAAGAGGAACAAGTTCACTTCCACTCAATTGCTCTTTGACTTTGGCCGCTGAAAGGGACAGGGGATGGACACGCTGACAGACTGGGATCAAAGGGTGCAAAAAAAAAGAACATAAAAGAGAGGGAAATGGAGGCAGAAATGCTTCGTTTGTTCGCCTGCCAACTTCAGCCTGGCCCAACTGACAACTGATGATGGACAGATTGCTTTCGCCCCCGCGTTCCTTCCGTCCTTTTTAAAACCATTCATGAGATCCATAAGTCTTATAAAAAGAAGCATTAATCCACAAAGATTGCATACAGGAGCAGTGCCAAACGCCCTCGCAATCCTGAAGGAAAGTGGAGGAAGAGGAAAACCAACTGCCAACTTCTCAAGTGACCTATTAGCAAATTGGGCCATAGCTATGAATCATTTCGGCTTTGTCGGAATATTCCAGCTAACCCACCTCTTTGAATGAAAGAAACAAACAAGCGAAATCCCAGTTAAGGCACTGCCAAATGTTGGGTAAGTTAAACTCCTGCCAAGTTATGACAGGGACAAACTTGCATGATTGCCTGAGACGCCTTGCTTTTTAACATTTATTTATTAAAAAATGAGGTTCAGAAGAAAAAAAGCATCAAAGGTCATAGGGCATACCAAGCACAACCATTTCTTTGCTAAGCGAATAAACATTGAAGAATTTTCCAACATGATTGTTTATTTCCTTATTGCTCCTTGTACATAAACCAAGAGCTGGTATATATCAGTGCAGTCTTCAATAAATGCTGCCAATGAAAAGTGACTGGGACATCCAAATCCATATGAAATATGCAAACTAGACTTAGAAAGCATGAGTGCTGGTAGGCCCCAATAACAAAGAAATATAGCGACAAATACATGCATAATTCTTGATCTCTAGGAAGCCCAAAGTTCAACATTTAAATGGGGTTGTCAAGAGGCATAATATATAGGCCCTTATATGCTAACATCCTGAATGAAGGTCAAGCACTCTTCCTATCCCCTCCCCATCTAAAAGTAAGATAGGCCTACCCTCCAAAGATAAAATGTTTTTTGTGCAAGTGTGTCAATCAAATGTCAAGTTACAAGCAGCTAGATTGCTTCCTTTTCTCAAATGTTATGCCCACAATGGTACCTAATCTCTTCTTAACACTATCCACAGAAGAAACAGCCACAACATCATCTCTGAACGGATTTTGCGCATTCACTACCCAACAAGTTAAAAAGCCATTCTTCAGTTTTACTTTGGGGATTGCAAAACATGAATTCCCTGTCCTGCTGCTACAATCAAGCTGAACAATTTATCATACTTTAAGTTATCATCAAAGCCCTTACTGATCTCTGAAGCCTGAATGAGAACTCCACCCATCAAACTTCCATGCAATAAAAAGTCCCACTGTGTTTAAATGGTGCTACTGTGACAGTCCCCATATCATCCCCTCTTCCACTTAAAACTTTGGATTTGCCTCTGAATTCTCTCTGGCACAATTTTTTTTTTTCCCAATGAGGCCTTACCAGTACCATCTCCACAGTTAAACATGGGAGCTCTTATTGATTGGACACCAAATACACCCAGGTCCTAATAAACTTAACTGCCATTGATTGTGCATGCCCAGAAAATTTCAGTCCCTCAGTGATAACAATCCCCAATTCTCCAGGCTTAGATTTCCACCGGGCAAGCCAATTTGCTTATCTGGCATGTCTACATGGCACATCCTATGAAGTCATGCAACATATTGAGTAGGTCCACTGAGAATTCCTTCCTCTTGGCTTCCTAATTATACACCAGGAGTACTGTAGGCCCAACCTAACTGACCAAACACCCAAGTCTACATTATCACTCAAGTGTTTTGAGTACCTAGGTCTATAATTACTCGTGTGTTTATGAACACTGGGAACAGGAAAGTCAAACACTTGTGATTAGTGTTAAGCAAAATTAGCACAGTCCTAGCCACAAGAGAATGCCAGGAATATAGGATGTATATGTGTATAGTGTAACCAGGTCAAACCATGATCACAAGCTCTTCTTTATATTAGGATTGTCACAATAGATCGATGCATCAATAACACTATCGATGATCGGAGGTATAGATTGTTTTTCTGATAATTGCAATGTATCGGTAAATGAATTTAAAGGGAAAATGTCCCATTGGATTGAGGAGAGTACAGTACAATACAGTCTGTCCGGGCGGGGAAAGGAGGAGGCAGCGTGACTTGCATGGGCTTTCAATTTCTCATCACAATCAAATTCTGGAAATGCTGGGACTGACTATATGAAAGAAGGGAAGGAGGGAGGGGGGGAAAAAACATGTTGGATAGGAGACAGGAAGTGGGAAAGGAGAGGGAGGGAAGACCGAAAGCATTTTTTTATCTTCAGTTTCATTCTTCGGCTCGATCTCATCAGGTGCATGCTGTGGAAGTGGATTGCTATTATACTCCCTTGATTTTGAAATGCAAATTGGTTAATCCCCCTTTATATTCCTGTTTTTCTCTTTAGTGCACAGGCTTATGGTTTTTTAATTTTTAACTTGCCCTGGGGAATTTTACCTCTTTACCTGAACCCAAACCCAGAGTGAATTTCTTACATGGACGTTGCTTATTCTGTGGCTGTACTGATGTTTCAGCAACCACCAGTATGGCACAGTTGGCAAGTTTTCTATCTGTCGGTGCCAATTTCCAAAGAAGACCATGTAGAATGAAGAAAATGAGAAAAAAAATTACATGAAAGGGCTTGACAACTGATTCTCAATGGCAATAAAAAAATATTAAGACTGTCCTGATGTATCCACCTATGAATGGATGTCATCTTTGATAGATGGAGGCATGGTAGGTTTCATTACTCATTGCGAAGGTCATACCTTCCCCCCTGCACACCCCAATCACAAATGTGAGATTATGGAAGACAGATAGAGGTTTGCGCTCCGATCAAGGCAAGACACGATGGAAGACAAACCTCCGCCCACGGCAAGAAAAGATTGAAACTTTCAGTGCCCCCCCCCCCCCCAATGCATCAATACACTATCAATAGTTCAGGTCGATGCATCAATGTTTTGAAGACTGCTATCGTGACAGCCCTACTTTATATCATGGGGTGGTCAGAGCCTGTTTTCTGGTTTTACTCCTCATAGGTTCATCTTCAAGGATTCAGTCACTGCCAGGGTAGTGCTTGTCATCTTTGAGATCCCAGATTTTTCTGGTAATAGAATTACAAAATAGAAAAGTATACTTCATAGGGGTAAAACCATCTAAGTTCAGACATAATAAAATAAATCGTTATAAGACAAAGCATTTTGTGTCACCTTCAGAAACAGCTCCTCTCAACTCTAGGCAAGGTCTTTTTGTGACACAATCAGACAAGAGGAAAAATTGCATGAATTTTCCCTTAAAATCAAATTTAAACTTTTAATATTCATCTTTGGTTTTTTGGATGACTGTCCATAAAGACACATTAAATGAGTAGAAAATAAATAAAAAAATTTGCCAGAGTGTAATGCAATTAAATATACAGTGGAATCCCATTGTTAAAATAAGGGTTAAAGGGCAGTTAACTTAAGGAGGTTTCAGCATTCAGGTTTTATTCTTTTCCAAGTCATCCAGAAATGAAAGTTACTAATGAAAAAACTAACACCACATTACACCAAGAATTGCTTGTTTTTCAACAGTGCAAATTAAAATCAGTCTCAAATATGTCCTTGGCTTAGGCAATATCAATTTGTTCCTAGGTTTTCCTATGCAGATGGTAATCATAATTCTGATTCCAGTATGGCCAGATTCCAGTCTCTTGACCAATTCACAAAGGAAATTCTAAAAAATTTTTTTTTAAAGGAAATATACAAAAACACTCAAAGCTTGGGCCATGTTGGTTGAAGATGCATGCAAAGATGAAGTCAATGACTACCTGCCCACTGTTGTAGATATTTCTAAATAAATAGCATGTACTGAGATAAGTTCCTTCAATGTAACAGCTGGGGGATGAAACCAAGGATGCATATAAAGATATTTTCCAAGATATCTGACAACATGGAATAGATTATGTTCCAAACTGCCTATCTTTATCCTTCTACCCTCCAAAATATCACAATTTTGCTTTTGCCAGAATAGTGCTTTCTTGACACTTAGGAGTTCAGAAAGAGTGCTAAGACTATGCCATGGCATCATTTCATTTTACACTATCCACATTCAGGTGACATTCAGGAAACAAGTCATAGCTTTCTTCTCAACCTGTCTACCAAGTTCTAACAGCAGTAATCTTCAGAATTGAGGGTAAAAATAAATGACCTTGAATGAACTAGAATGATTGGAATGAGACTAGTAAACTCAGTTCTACAACTATGTTTCCACTGACATCTGGCTAAAGGAGATACTGATGATCATGGACAGCTGCAACCTAGTGTCTGTAATCATGTGATATGGACTTGAAGCTTTTCACTAGTAACCAGTACCAAAAGTCACAAACAGGAAAGCTGGGCTCACCGGCAGATGAACATTGGAGGATTCCTGAGCAATGTGAGGAGCCTCTTCTTCATTCACTTCCTCATCCCCACTCTTCTTGTCTGGATCAATCTCCTGTAAATAATGAATACATTCATCAACAAATGCATAACATTCTGAGGGAGAGGGAAGGACTTTTTCTCCCCTATCATGATCAACTCACATCCACATCCACTTGAACTTTGCCAGTTGATCTTCTCTTGGGTCTCCTCTTCCGAAGGATTGCCAGTTGGGTTGCACTTTCCCGATTTTCTTTATCATCTGCAATGGACAAAGAGCAAGGAGTGAAGTGGATTCCATCATTCTTAAATCACACCTTCAAAGGTAAAAAAGAGCTGGGTTATACCTATTTCTTCAGGCTCTTTCTTTATCCTTAGGGATGATATAGGAGGGCCTGTGCTGGAAGACTCAAGACCGGCAGAACTTCTAGGGATTGGAGGTCGTCCTCTCACTTCCTCAAGTAGGAACTGCAATAAGAAACAATATAACATCTTTAATATTCCAGCTTCATCATTCAATGTCATCAATAAACAGATGACAGACTTTGTTCTTGTCGCCTTCATCAAGGCGGAGCTTCCAAGATGGACGTCTCTCCATTGCTTGACTAGATGGCAGCTTTGAGGATGTGGTAGGCACAGTTGGAGTGGCACCAGATGGCACTGGAGCAGGCTACAGAATAAGTAAACAATCAATGTAATAATCTCGAAGTGAGACTTTATTTTCTCCTCTCAGGATGGGTGTTGACCAGTCACCATCACAACTTAACAGGTGAGTAGTCTATCATGTCATGAACCTTCTCTCATCAAGAGATTATGGATTGAGCCAAATTCTACTGGACTTTTCTATCTGATACTACAGACTAACCATACTCCAATACACTTCTCACATGAAGAAACCATACAACATAACCCTGGTAGCCTAGTTCACTTTCTTTCATATGCCTTTTCACTGCGTTCCCTCATGATTAGCCGAGAGAGACTTTTGATAAAGGAATGACATCCTATCAAAAGTGCCACTTCTGACCCATAATCCCATCCCACATAACATAGACTGTGACCAAAGGGATCATCATAAATCACTTGCTGCTTATTTATCATTACATCAGGAGAATTTTTAAAAGTCATACCACTTCTGCAGCTGAGGGGTTGGCAGAGGGAGCATTGGTTGTGGTGATGGTGGCAGTGGTTGTACCAATTGAAGTAGCATTTGTGGTAGTTGTAGGCAGCTGCTTCTCTCTCAGGGTCTGCTGTGCTGCTTTTATGTCTTCCAGTGTCACCCCTTGAGTTGACCGCCGGGTCTCTCGCACACGCTTGGCATGTGCCTTTCGCTGAGTCTCAGATTCCTCATCTCTCACCGGGGGTACAAATGACCTATAATGTGGGGAATTGTTAAGTTCCCATGTTCCTAACACCATAAATAACAAACTTGCTCTCTCTCAACTCTCACACATCTGTACATGAATTTCTCTACAGCATCTCTATTGCATCATTCCAGTCTCCCTACCAGATTCCACATCTCTTCCTTGAAGGAGCAATGAAATTTTCTACATTAGTCATCTATCAACCTCTAACTTTGTATCTACTAAGGGTTCAATCCCAAGTACTGGTGAAGCTTGAATATCACGGATGATAATTACCAGAATGTTAATATTATCACTTTCAACCCATACACTTGTTCAATTTTCTTTTAGAATAGAAAATTTCACAACTGGTGCAAAATGGCAGAGAATGTACAATTCAGAAAAACAATATCATACAATATGGAATGTGAAATGCAATAGCATTGGAGTTGTAGGATGATCAGCCACTGATAATGAGGTGACGTGTACAGGAGCCAAAATGGAATGCAGAGCATATCCATAGAAGTTAAAGAAAAAATACTGCATCATGAACCCTTTTCTTATGCCATGGGAAAATACCCTCACAATTAGGCCTACACAACAACACTTTCAAAACTTTTAATTCTCATTAATTATAACTACTTGAGTAGCTATGGAGTCACGATATACAGGGTAATTCAAAAAGAAGGTAACATTTTCACATGTTTATAATGAAGAAACCATTTTTGCAACACAGTCTCCCCTGGCGGTGCAAGCATGAAACACTTTCCCACATCAATTACAAACAAACTTTGAGAGTTTCCCTAACAATTGATACATATCACGTCATTGTAGGCTCTCTGGTTACTTCGCTATAAACATGTGAAAGTGTCACCTTCTTTTTTAATTACCCTGTTAACTATTCTCTTGGATAAGAAACAGTTACAAAATGGTTGAAAGGCTCCATGAAAAGAAGTTCTAAATTTAAAATATTTTTGAGAAACTGGCAGATGACATAGGATGGTTGAAGACCTCATTTCTCTAGAGATAAAAGTACACAAATAAAAAATGGCAGATTGTAGGAATGGTCTTTGAAAATAACTTCTAACAAATAAATTATGACAGCAATTTTTTTGTCTTGCATGGAACCCTTGAGTTTTGTGTGCATTGTGACATGGGCAATGAATATGTGCATTAACACTGCAAGGAGATGTAAATACAGTGGGAAAAGGAAATAGGCCTATGGTGTTCCACAAGCATGCACCATTATGGTTCCACACAAATGAACCTGGAGGGACCAGCCACATGCCGACGAACAGAGGTACCAGTACTGGAAAATGAGGTGGTGCATGACAGAAAAAATATGATTGGAAAAATCCATACGCACTTGAAGATTCTAGTCAGAAAACTGGCAGGAGAAAATTTAGCAGACTCGGCAGTAGGAGTAGCTGGGAGACTGAAAGAGATGGCACAAATGAAAAAGGATACATTACATTATTCTGTTCTGGAAGAGGCATACCACTAATAAGAATGATAGGAAAATTAACAGTTCCCCAGATCTAGATTAAACAAATCTCTGGGAGCAACAAAGTTCCCTCCCTTTTTTTTTTATTTATTTAAAAGAAAGTAGTCCTCAATCAGCCAAGTCCCATTATCTAGGAGTTCAAGCACGCACACACAGAGGAATGTCAGAAGCAATTTCAGCCATAAAAGGAAAAGCTTTTCCTTGTGTGACATGATAGAAGGAGTTAAGAACACAGTGTATTGTAGCAATGAGGACCCACCTTCGAACTTGAGAGGGCTGGGTGGCAGCAGGGGAGGTCGGAGTGGCCCCTCCCGAAGAGGATGCACTCAAAGGCTCCAGGTCTCTACTGAAATACACACAGTAATAGGTACCTCACTTTCTTTGTTGCAGGTGAGAGAATGAGCAACCAAAAAAGCAGATTGCATGGGATAACCACAATCCAAATTCATGCTCTTATCTGAGCCATGCCAGTTGTTTGTGAAAGCCCTTCATGCAACATGACATAATCAGCATACCTTGACTAGTTGCCCTCCTTTTAGCAGCATGGACTGGGGGAATTTTTTATTCTGAATTATGTCTATATTAAAATCATAACTTACCTGATTAAATTATTCAAAACTATTTCCAATAATTATATTGCAAGATTAGGGTAATAATTGTGGGTAAATTGAATTCTGCAAGCATTCCTCTACTTATAACTCTCCACATTACAAGCCTTAACTCAAGTTAAAAGTGAGACCTGAATGAGTTAATGTAACAAAGAGGAAAGAGATAGAAATAGATGAATTGGAGGAATGGATTCTTGGTATACAAACAATTAGAGTTGGCAGCATGATTAGTAACATATTGAGAGAGATTGTTCAATGGGTCATATACAGCAATCTGGGTGATCACAAGGGAAGCAAAACATCTATATGGGGAATTGCTCTTGAGGGGATCTGGTCCTGGAAGTGTAGAAAGATTTTATTTGACACCATTTCATGGTGTCAAGAGTTAATTTGCTTTACCAATGACATTGCCATTATTTTCTCCTCTTTCAAGACTTAATGAAGGGAGACGAGGAGTGTCCTCAACTCCACAAGGCTAAGATGTCTCAGACCTGTAGTGGTCCTTTTTTTGGAGACTTCAAACTTTGACACCACCATCACTCAAATGAGGTAGCTTGGCTTCTCAACTCAAACTTTGCCATAGGGTCTTAATACTTTGCTTCTCCTTCCTGAGGCTTGACAAACTTTGGAGAGACATTTTTCCTTGGAATGGAGGTTTAATACTAAGCTTACCATGCCAATGTATATGTTTCAATGAATTCCATTTCCATTAGCAATGATTGGGTTCTGACAATCATAATGGGCCTTTCTCAATGGCAAGAATAATCACATCACATCCTTTCTTGTTAATAGAGCCATTACATAATGAAAGTGAAGAGAAGGTTGGTCACAATCTTCTGGTTGTGTCTGAAGCAATTTAGCAGAATTTTTGTGGATCATCATGAATGCTGAAAATTGGGATGGTGTGGGCAGCTGAATTGAAATTCCCCAACTTGCTGCCTCTTTTTAACTGCATTGAGTGTTGAAATAATGCATAAATTTTTTAGAAATAGACCAACGTCAAATCAATAACATTCATATGTCATGCACATAATTACTTGAAATAATTTTCAATACTAATATAAATTAATTCAACATTATTCTGGGTGGAGTGTACCCCAAGAACTTCTCATTGTTAAGTTCTATAAATCAGAAAGTACATACATTTTAATTTAAAAAAAGGGCTCAAATGAGCAGGAATAGAAGAGAGGGGATGGGGAAAAAGTAAAGGAGAAGATGGATAAGAAGAATGCATACCTGACAGGCACAGGATTAGTTCTGGCAGAACAACCAGGGGCATTCCGAGAGAGGGTTCTCAATGGTTCATATACAGCTATCCGGCGCTTCAATTCCTGATAGCGATCGTAGAATCTGCATGCACCGTTTAGTCAGAGAACTGCATCAACACATGCAATGCCAGGACCTCAACCGATTCCATCATATAATACATACAGTAACTCGCCCTGGTAACAGGAGATAGCACATTTGTATCAGTCCCAAACCGTTTTGGGGGAAATATTGTGCAGCAGAAACATGCAAGAATCTTACTGATACCAAAAAGCCCCACTACTCGCATATCTGTAACTGAAACTGATGATGAGTAGAAGATGACACAAAAGCTCTCCTGCAGGTGCACATTCATCAGAGTTGTAGCATGCAATGTGAGTCAGAGTGGAAGACAGATTGACACATGTAGCTACGTTCCCCTATTGTCAGTTTACCAAGGGTTTCCCCTGAAACTTATTTCCATGAATGCAAAAATGACAAATGTGGGCATGTTTGCATTTCACACCAGAAGCATAACATCTACTCAGAACTGCATTCCTCTTCCTTTGAATCCACCAATATGGTACCTGCATACATCCTTCTTAGAGATTCTGTTATTTTGAGAGAGGATTTCCCCATATAAAAATATCCCAACTATGTGGGGGAACAAGTAAGGATGGGAAATAAGTTCATACAAAATAGAATGAACAAGTGACCATCAAAGGAACCAAGAAAGCTCTACCACATTAAATATTTCCCACCAAGAAAATCTGAACCAAAAAATTGAAGGTTCATCTCTGGCTCCATGGCAGTTGACAGTGACAATGTTTCTGGCAAAATTTTTCAAGTTCCTGAACCAGTATTGGCATGTCATGACTAGGCCATAAAGTGTCAAGAGTACAACAGAGTTTGATGTGGTTATCCTCATATCAAGCAAGATGAGGTGCAAGCAGTATCATGCTTTAAAGTGTAGATATCAATTTACGTCAAACACGCAACTTAAATGAATAAAAACTTCTCATGCAGAAACTCACTTTTTGTCTGATTCCAAAAGGCTGGTGGCTCTCCTGAGTTGAACACCAGGGAAAGTCCCATTGTCTTTGCTGTTGGGCATGATCAACTTCTCCCTGCCTCCTTCTGATGAAACAAATCCATATCATTAGTCTGACTGTGGGATTGGCTTCAGTTTGCTCCCAGTTTTACATAGGGTGTCACTCACCATTAGCTCCCATGCTCCGAAGAGATCCTGGCCTCCTCCAGCCCTGCACCCCCTCTTCATCACTCTTATCTGAAGCGGAAGGGGGGGTGTATGCTGGACTCTGTATCAGAAAGAAATACAATGGGCATCAGTCTTAACTACTTTCAAGAAAAGAAAGGGCATAACACAAAAGAATGTGCTATGCTGCAAACTGGTGCAGGTTTCAAATCTGCATGTTATAAAAATTCCAGTTAAACAACAATGAAAATGCAACAAACCAAGTACCAGTGCAGAGGAGGATGAAATACTCTAATATCATAGTACCACTCAATGGCTCAATATGAAAATTACCAAATGCATATAAGAGGTATGTTCTACATGTGGCATATGGTGATCACTAACATGTTCACCATCAAACCCCTTTTTCATACCTGCAGGGACAGTGGGCATACACCCCATTGGTGGGGCATGGGGCAACTAATGAGTAAAAATTGATGATAATGTATAGCTTTCAAAATGTTCATTTGTATCACACTTCCACTGGTCCTACCTGAGCAAGAAAGAGAAGAAACAGTCAGAGAGAGACTCACAGGTGCAGCAAGCTTTTCCTCTTCCTCCTCTTTGGCTGCTGCAGCAGGTGAAGGCACAACACGTCGAATTTGGTCTGCTCTGCTTCTCCGCTCTGCAAACACACATAGGAGGTAACATTGTTTTCCACAGAATGCAATACAAAGTTTAGCTGCAAAGATGTCACATCCTTCAGAAAGGGGTATATTTATCTATCAGACACTCAGTAGTAATGATTTGTATTTAATTGTTATGATCATGCTGTGACTCAGAATATAAAAAAGTCTTCATTCAAGGAGCAACTTCTTCAAATCAGAAAGGATTAATAAAATAGAGATGATAGGAAATACTTAAAGATTTACATCACCTACAGAATACACATAGCTGAAAACACACTTCTTTTCTTTCAATTGCTGAACAGGGGGAGGCTGAATTTTCAATAGCAAAATAGAATAAGGCAGGGAATAAACTGAATTAGGATGAAGTGAGCATAAGTAGCTAGACTGGATGAGCTGTTAGACACTGTCAGCCTTATATTCACAAAGATGGAAGTCAGTCTGTGAAAAATAAACAAGCCTCCAGATTTAATCTGTGGCATTGTTAATTTCCGTAATTACATTTGAGTCTAAAAACTTGGAAATGTGAATCTAGGCAAGGTTTAGTTCTAGGAGTTAGGCTGCTCTCAAGCTGCATCAGATTGTATCAAACTGACCTCTCAATAAATACAACAGCCCATACCACAACTGAGTCTCTCATAGTACACCAAGCCAGATCACAGCCAGAGCTTTGAAATTTTAATTTTTTTTCTACTGCAAGTTTACTAAGTCTGATGGAGAGTAACAGCAGCCTTAGCCTAGCTTCAAGGGAAAGAAGCTGAAACAAGGGAACAGATGAATGATACTGATGAATCAATATGTTACACTGTATTTCACGAAAAACTTGAGCAATAAAAAATAAATTATTCATATTGAACCCCAGAATCCATGCAAGAAAGAATGCCCATAAACCATGAGCACCACCACCACCACCACCAGATCGTCTTGAATGCATCATAGGAAGCTGGGGGACATTGAGACACTTACCCTCATCATCTAAACTACTATTACTCAGCTCATCAGGGCTGGGCTCAGAACCAGACTCGGATTCTGATGTCTCCTCTTCTATTGAGCAGCATGCAAGGAGAATCACACCAAGAAATCACAGTCACAGAACCCACAGAATAAAAATTGACTTTTCTCAAACAAAGAATGAGATGCCCATAGGCTGACTGGAAATTTGTGAGCCTGAGGACTACAATACTGGAAGACTACATTGAAAGTTCCATGAGTCAACATTTACATAATTTGCTTTCACTAGTAAACTTGGACTACATTATTTTATGCTCATTAAATTTCACATATCTAATGAGGTTCACTGAAACGGTTGAGACATGCAAAGGCTATAAGCCACCACTTGAAGAGATGTGAAGAAGAGTAAAAATAAATTCTTCATCAGGACAGTCATTCATCTTTGATGGGAGGGATTCATCAGGGTTGACTGCCCAAGCATGACTTTAAATCCCAGCCAAAAACATTTACATGCCTGAATTTCTCATCACAACCAAGTGTTAATGAGAATCATAATTGCACTCCATAAACAATTCCCATTTTAGTTCCTATCTTGGTGTAAAGGCATCAGGGACCTTCAAGTCATTAAATGTACAGAGCAACTTAGCTAGTCTGAAACCTTGAGGAGATAGAAACCTAATTCAAAATATTTCTGTGATACATGACACACCACTGTGGTCTTCAAATGGAAGAATATACATTAAAATCAGTCTATAAATGAATGCAGATAAGAAAGAAACCTGTCTAAATCTTTATAAGTAGTCCAATAAGTTTCCACTTTAGTTTGACTCTACAGTCAAACTGTTAGATCTCTTGGTTACTGGTCATCTCCTCTTGAATTGGGCCCATCTGATAAATCCAGTAACTTGAATATGGATCCTCTCTAAAGGCAGTCTGTAAGTGGACAAGACTCTGACATATCCTCAAGTCTTCTTTAAGTTGAAATAGAAAATCCATACTATCGAAGTGCTCTTTGACCAGAGTTCAAAGTCATGGTTAGGGCAGTCAATCCTAATTAATGTCTCCTGTCATTGAAGGCAAATGATTGATCCCACATATAAGCTTCTTGACTAATCTTTTGTCTCAAAAAATGTCTGTCATCACCTTATGTGGTAGCAAAGGTGTGGTCACACACCTTTGAATGCCTCAAAACTTTCTGAGTGACCCTCATAATGGCCTATTCAATTTGAATAAGCTTAATGATCACAATGACATACAAATGTTACCCTTTGTTCCCTCTCTAGAATGGAACTCACAAAAAAAACATGAAGCAAATGAATCATAAATATGCTAAGAAAAAAGATTGAGGACAGAAAACTGAAGACAATTATAAACTGGCTCACAGAACACAAAAATTACAAACACAATGAACACTGAAGACCTGACATGCAACCAAACAAGCAGCAATGAAAAAAAGAATAAAGCACTCACCACTCTCCGTTTGCTCGGCACTACCAGAAGATATTTCATCCCTCTCACTTTCAGTTTCAGTTTCTGAAGAACTGACCTTCTTCCGTTTCCCTTCCTCTGAGATGGCCTGGTCTATTAAGTGCTGCCGCTCAAGTGAAGCGTCTTTAGAAATGATATTTGACTTGTCTGAGCCAGACATGCGAGTTACAGATGACCTGTGAATGAGGGAAACAGAAACATGGAAATGAGCTACAGTGAAACCAAGCACTTGAGAAATCAATCTCTCACCTCCTTCTTAGTGGTGGTTGAGGTCTTTTCATGAGGATTTCCTGAATTTCAGGCTTGTCCTTCTTCAGACTTGCCTGCTTCTTCTTCAACTCTTCCAAAACCGGGAGTACTTCAGGATCAGCGACGTCAAAGGCTGTTTGACCCTGATAAATATAAACATATACACAATTTTACAGATTCTGATTCATAGAATAGATGCAAACCCATGCCACAGATCAGCAAGTACTCATGTTTGCTTCATGGTGAAATCACAAGATTTCTGGGAATTAGGCCCAACTTCCTTACCACATAATTCTTGGTATCCATGTCACACATGTTTTCAGCAAGCAGTTCACAGGCTTCCCTCTGTGCCCAAAGAGCAGCAGCATGCAATGGAGTCCATCCCTCATAGTCAGGTGCATTGATGTCTACTCCTGCTTGCAGTAAAACGCTATGGAAGAAATTGTTGAAATGTTGAAAAGGTTATTCATTTGCAACAACTTAACGAGTCAAATCATTCACAAAGCAAGAAGCTGAGCAAGGAAGACTATACTTCATGACTTTGATGTAACCCTTAGCAGCAGCAACATGAAGACTTGTAGCACCAGTCTTGGGATGAGGGACTTCATCATTAATTCCAATGTTTAGCCACTGCTTAGCATCATCCAACATGATCCTTTCCTCTTCATTCCTTGCCAACTCACAATCAATGCCTTCAAATGAAGAAGTCCACAGTGAGAACAAGGCAATCAAATAAATGGGCTCATGTCATGGCAACATGAAAATAAACCAACCCTGTTTATCAATTTCCTCTTGAAGCAAATGCTCCATGTCATCGGATTCAGCAATATCAATTGGGAGATCACCATCATTGTTGACTGCAGCAACATTTGCACCTCTTTCAATCAAAAACCTGCAGCCCAACCAAAAAAATTTTTTTGTTCATTCATTACCTCCTATGGGGTCATCAAACATTGAGATTTTGTTGACAAGGATGAACTACAATTAACTCATATACAGGGTATGGCAAAAAAAAAAATAGACCAATGGCTTCTAGCTTCTCCTACCAGAACTATTTTCAGGAAACAGCACTCTACATAGCTGCATTTATTTCTAATAGACCCTCAAAATTTATTCTTAATTCATTTTACCAAGGCAAGGTTATGAGCCACTATTCAAAAGAAGTCAGATATATGAAATGGAAAAGAGCTCCCTATTGGTAGTGGAGGAGAGCCTTCTAGGTTTTGTTGTTCAGAGTATAATAAATTTCTGTTCCATTGAAAAATTTATTCTTTGGACTAAAACAGGGGGTTTAAATAAGTTTTTTTTTTCTAATTAAAAACAGATGAATCAAAGAGTATAAATTCCAGAGAGTATACAGTATACAATATAGAGAATTAGATCCAAGTAAAAAGTTGTTTTTGGTTTACACTAGAGAACAAGGCAGTCTAGTCACTCCAAAAGAACTCCCATCTCCATCTATTTCAGATTTCAGGTTTTTCTTTGAAATAATTGCTCAAATCCTTGCTTTGGCCCAACCAACTTGAATCATATTTTGCAGGTCTATTGAGGGACTATTGAGACCATGTCAATCTACACACAGGATAAGTTTTGTAGTAGTAGCTCAAGGTAGAGATGTTAAAAGCTACTGATGTTTCTTTAGTTGCCTATCCTATTCAAATCTGAGAAGCAATCCCCTATAAAACAATACATAAACTCAAAATTTTGTCCAACCTTTGGTCATAAAAGTACTCATTAATACACTATGAGGGTAACAGGAAAGATAATTTCTTGGAGAAGGAAACACTAAGCCTAGGCTCACTGGAAGACAGTGTGAGTTAGATGCACTTCTCTACACACACCAGCTGGGGGAATTGTTTGCTAGATGTACACCTCACTATCTGAGGTCAAGATGACACACAGAAGCCAGATGTGTACATACACTTCTCTTGTGCCCTGCTTCTCTTTCCTCCACATCCTAGTCCCATGTATACCTACTCGCTCTCTCCTTCAGTGATAGTGCTTATTTATAAAGCCATCATGCATAGCCATTTCTGCAGTATAAAACCTCACAAAGGGACTATTTTACAAAACAGATTATGACAATGCATTGGATTCCTGTGCACAGTTCCAAAAGTCCTACCCATCTCACCCCTTTGGGCCTCAGCACTGTCAAGAGGAATGAGTGAAGTGAAATTGATGATGAAGTGATGAAGCAGCTTTCTGTGAGTGTCTTCATTCCTTCATATGGCTCTTACATTTACCACTTGAAGAAATTCCATCATGAAGGAATACATTCTTAAATGCCCTTGTTTTCTCCTTCCTAATGAAGATATTATGTATTAACCAATGGGTCTGAACTCATGAGAGAAAGGAGAAGGGTGTGATAAGCAGGGGTTGGGCCCTAAAAGGTACCATCCAAGTATGCTTAGGTTTGATATAAAAAATATGCAATCCAATATCAGAAGAGAGTATTAGCTCTGCACCCCAGATGGAGAGGCCTTCCAATCATTGGGGATACAGAGCAGACTCTATTTCACTGTGTCATTCCCCATCAAGAGTGCTGTTGGTATTGGTATGCATATGGGAAATAGGAGTGTCTGTCAGACTGAGGACTATTCAGGTGTGCATCTAATGGCTAATACCCAGATGATGAAGTAAAATAAGTTGAGAAGAAAATATCCTTAAAATTTTAGCTTAAAAGAATGCAGTAGTCCCACTGTTCTAAGTAAAAACTACCTGAGGCTTAAGCTCAGTTACTACAGGCAATCTGTAGACTTGAAATGGGCCTTGGTCTAATCAGGAAAGTTTACCTAGAAAGAGAGGTAGGCATCTATCCAGAATAAAAATCTGACTTGAATTGACTCATGGACCCACCTAGCAATACTGATGAATCCACATGAAGCAGTGGCATGAAGGGGAGTCCAGCCTTCATTATCACCACGATTCACGTCTGCCCCATGATCGACGAGAAATTCAACCATATCCAAGTTGTCATCGATGCATGCCTAAAAAGTAGAACCGATGTGCGTTCCATCCACGAATAATAAAATGTCATATTTAAGCCTAACAATCCCCAACGGGACAAAATCCAACTGTGCAGCCGTGAAAAAATCCCGACCTGATGCAGGGCCGTCAGACCATCGACGTTGGCAGTGTCGATGTCAGCCCCTTTGTCCAGAAGGCGTTTCACTTCGGGCTTGTCCCCAGCTGCACATGCAGCAAGAAACACGCATCCCTGCGAGAAGCTCACTCTCCTGTCCAAGGCCTTGGGCATCAGAGGTTCCTTGTTCGTGTCGGATTCGTTCCATCGTCGTAACTGCTCGGCTCTCTTGAAGAGAGCCGAGTTGGAACGAGGTTCCACGGCAGACATGAAGGGAATTTCACTGGCCTGCTCTCACATCAGGAAGTCGCCATGAGTCCTCCATAACATGGTGGCTTGCGCATGCGGGGACGCCTCCGTTGCGCAAGCTCCACGCTAACGCTCTTCTCGTCGTCCGCTAGGGGCAGCCGTGTGATTCTTCCTTTTCGTTCCGCACCTTTTTTTCGTGGATGAGTTACTTCTGGTTTAACTTATTTTTTCTAGTGGAGCTTCTTTTTTTTTTTTTTTTTTTTACTAAAAAAAAANTGCATTTTCCTTAAACTCAGTTATGGGGTGAAAAATCCAACGTTTCTAAAAACGCCTCACATGAATAGGTGTCATGCCGCATTTCTAAGAGGAAGTGTGAAAAAACCCTTTCCCGAGATTTCCAATCGGGACAGAACTGTGTTGAGCAGAGGTGAATCGCGATGGTGTCGAAATTCAGGGTCACAATGAAATGGGACGGGGCCAGTTGTCCATTTTTAAAGGTTCACGATTCCTTGGAATGCATGCCAATGTTCCACCTCTTCTCTAAAATTTGCACCGTTGGCGATTCACTTCCACAATCGACGTCAGATGAGTCTGGAGAGATGCGAAGACCTTGGAAACGGCAATTCAAACTTCTACATTACTCATTTGACTAGAGATTTCACTAGTCTGAGCATCTAGTTCTATTCAATAGCTTAAGGAGGCTTCTCTCAATTTCATTTGCATCACTCACTTTAGACTGGAATTCAAATTGGTCTTTCTCTGAAAATGAAGGTGTCAACTGTTTTCCCAACGCTCCAGCTCCTGAAACCTTATGATAAAGAGGTTTATGTTTTCCCCATTGTGCAAGGAAAATGGTAATGGCAGTCACATCCTGTTCACTCGTATTTTCCTCTGGTTCAGTGAAACCAACACTTTCATTGATAGAAAATCAATAGCATTCTTTACTTGTACATTGTATACAATTGACACAATAGACACAAAATAAAGGGGAAAGGTATCACAACAAACAATCCAATGGAGGACAAAAACTAGTCAATAGCCAAAAGTGGGCATGCACCATCTAGATAAGTTGCATGATACAAAATCCACCAGCAGTGGCGTCCGACATTGGATAACAAGAATGAAGGCAGCTCAAGGCTATTTGTCATGCTGCAAGAGCCCCCTGCAGCCGCAACGAGCATCCGTCCTTCGACGAAGTATGGTATTACGCACCTATTATGCAGGCTTACTGAGCAATTCCCATCCATTTGGGAGAAAAATATAAGAATTAAGAAAAAAAAGGGGACCTGAGAAGAAACTCATAGGAAGCCTACTAGGATGCAAAGCTGGTAATGTACTCTAAAAAAAAAACCTGAAAGCCCTAAAAACGTTGGAGTGGTATAGAGAGCAGTCACTAGACACCAGTCTCCTTTCGAATGGGTGTCAACTGGAGTCCCTTTGCAAGCATTGCTGCCTCCAAGTCCTTGTCTTCTTCCTGGTACCTGGAAGAAGGAAGAAAGTTTTGTGCATCCTCCAGAAGCACCTGCATGCCTCTGAAACAAAGAGGACTGATGATGGAAGTCCTGTCAGAGTCCTCGTCATCGGTCACGGGGGGGGGGAATTGGCGAAGTTTGGTTTCGACCCGGAAGCGGCCGATCGGGCCCGGCAGCCCGCTGAGGGCGCTATTCGCGACGTTTAAATTTAAAAAATTGGGTTCTCGGGGGAAAGCATGCTGGCCCAGCTGCATCCTCCTCGCTCGCTCATTCGACAGTAGGAAAAGCTCGGCTTCTATGTATTTCTTCCTAATTTCCATGGAACACACACGCATTTTACCGAATAAGAGGGATTCCGTCTGCAGCGAGGTCAAGTATTGAACTTTTTGGTACCACTTGGTGGTATATATATGAGCGCCGATCAGTTCAATATATTCCACTTGGACAAGACTTTCGTGTTTGAATTCAGTAAAAACTTCGGAATGCATGCATTTTCCTTAAACTCAGTTATGGGGTGAAAAATCCAACGTTTCTAAAAACGCCTCACATGAATAGGTGTCATGCCGCATTTCTGAGAGGAAGTGTGAAAAAACCCTTTCCCGAGATTTCCAATCGGGACAGAACTGTGTTGAGCAGAGGTGAATCGCGATGGTGTCGAAATTCAGGGTCACAATGAAATGGGACGGGGCCAGTTGTCCATTTTTAAAGGTTCACGATTCCTTGGAATGCATGCCCATGTTCCACCTCTTCTCTAAAATTTGCACCGTTGGCGATTCACTTCCACAATCGACGTCAGATGAGTCTGGAGAGATGCGAAGACCTTGGAAACGGCAATTCAAACTTCTACATTACTCATTTGACTAGAGATTTCACTAGTCTGAGCATCTAGTTCTATTCAATAGCTTAAGGAGGCTTCTCTCAATTTCATTTGCATCACTCACTTTAGACTGGAATTCAAATTGGTCTTTCTCTGAAAATGAAGGTGTCAACTGTTTTCCCAACGCTCCAGCTCCTGAAACCTTATGATAAAGAGGTTTATGTTTTCCCCATTGTGCAAGGAAAATGGTAATGGCAGTCACATCCTGTTCACTCGTATTTTCCTCTGGTTCAGTGAAACCAACACTTTCATTGATAGAAAATCAATAGCATTCTTTACTTGTACATTGTATACAATTGACACAATAGACACAAAATAAAGGGGAAAGGTATCACAACAAACAATCCAATGGAGGACAAAAACTAGTCAATAGCCAAAAGTGGGCATGCACCATCTAGATAAGTTGCATGATACAAAATCCACCAGCAGTGGCGTCCGACATTGGATAACAAGAATGAAGGCAGCTCAAGGCTATTTGTCATGCTGCAAGAGCCCCCTGCAGCCGCAACGAGCATCCGTCCTTCGACGAAGTATGGTATTACGCACCTATTATGCAGGCTTACTGAGCAATTCCCATCCATTTGGGAGAAAAATATAAGAATTAAGAAAAAAAAGGGGACCTGAGAAGAAACTCATAGGAAGCCTACTAGGATGCAAAGCTGGTAATGTACTCTAAAAAAAAAACCTGAAAGCCCTAAAAACGTTGGAGTGGTATAGAGAGCAGTCACTAGACACCAGTCTCCTTTCGAATGGGTGTCAACTGGAGTCCCTTTGCAAGCATTGCTGCCTCCAAGTCCTTGTCTTCTTCCTGGTACCTGGAAGAAGGAAGAAAGTTTTGTGCATCCTCCAGAAGCACCTGCATGCCTCTGAAACAAAGAGGACTGATGATGGAAGTCCTGTCAGAGTCCTCGTCATCGGTCACGGGGGGGGGATGTATCGGACTGGCAAGTCCTCGTGCAACCAAAAATAAGATTCATGCAACAGCAAGAGTGCTCCACATTCTCAATGAAAGTCTTTTACCGTGGCTTGCAGTACAAACCAGGTCATACGACAAACACGCATGCAGACCCGTGGAATCACAGCTCAGTTGACTAACTTAATCAACTGACTTGATAGCAATCAACTAAGAATACTGAATTGATTGTGATCAAGAAAGTCCCATACTGTGAGATCCAATTATACAACTTTTTTTTTACAATCACTATCATGCACCATCACCAAAGGAACCATTTTTCTGATCAGTTCTATAGCAAATCCATCCCACCCCTTTGAACACTTAGTTTATGAAAAAAATAAAACTGAGCACAAAAAATGCTTTCATTTGGATACTTTTACTAAATCATATTGAAATCATAAATTCCATTTCTCAATTGCTGTTACATGTCTTTTAAATTTGCATACTGCATCATCATAAACTGTGAAAACAAAAAAGTCCTGAAAATGATTTAAGTAGTCATAATGAGGTCTGTCACTATCAATGGAAATCATTTGGAATTTGTGTAGAAGAATCCTTCGCTCCATACAATTCAGCGAACAGTTACAATCCACTTCTGTGATTCTGAATAGAATGCATGCAAACCAGTCAGATTTTCTTGTATCACTACACTTTAAAGTGCAGGTACAGCAGGGTCTTTTCTCATTGGGCCCAAGAATGCATTTCACCCTCTTTATCAGAGTAAAGTATTAATGTAAAGATATCCCCACAACTTGTTAGTGATTGCAGCCCATGAAAAAATGCCAGGATTCCCACCTTCCATCACAATTGCTCACCTGTGAATAGGAAACTCAGGCAGCTGCAGAGGGTGATTGTGCCTGTGAACCTGCACAGATCATGGCCCAAAAAAAGCCCAGCGATCCAGCCACCATAACATATTTTACAAACTGCCTAGCCTGTAAACAGCGCTGGCAAACAACAGTGCAACATGATCATGCCAATCACAGCTGAAAGTGAACAGAAAACTGACCAAAAACAAGATCAAGATAAAATGAGCATTTACAGGAACAAAAATTGTCAATCTTGAACATAAAAAAATCAGAGCACAAATATATCGCAGTTGAATAAACAAGGAATAAAAGTTGTGCTAGTAAATGAATCATGCATGATGAGTGAAAAAGAAACTACTCCATGAAAGGGTGGAGGAGCCACGAGGCCAGAAGCCATAGCAAGACCAAGAAGAGTGATAGGAGAGTGGAGAGATATGGCATGAGGTCAGAGGTCGGAGGAGAGGTCAGGGGGGTCACGGCCTGGAAAGGGGGGGGTCGGGGCGTGAAGAGACTGTTTCGTCTGAGCCAGGATTGAGTCTCCGGGTCCAGGTTCATGGGATACCTTTGACGGTCCTCCTCCATCATGGCTATCAGAGAATCTCGCTGCTCCACTATCTCCAGCATCTCGGCCAGGATCTGGCCTTCTTCCTCTATGTCCTCCTTTGATTTGTTCATGTCTGCGAAAGGAACACCACAATGTGAAACTCCTTTCTTTTCCTTATCTAGAGACACCCATAGAAAAATCTCAAAAGAAACAGTTCTCAAATTCTTTCAAGCTATCTACCCTTTCAAAATACGAGCACAATTTGGAAGCCTCCTTTTCTTTCTTCGACAGAGTGAGATCGATGCTCGATTTGCTAATATCAGAAGAGCAATTCTGGTATAAGCAAATCACATCTTTGTGCTGCGATAAGAAGAAATAAAACAGGGCAAATATCCATGGTAAGCAGAAGTGATTAAGGGAGCAGAGCCAGAAAAGCCAACGGATATCGATCACGCAAAGCTGAAAGACAGGTTTAATCTCACAGAACTCGTCATCAGAAATTCTGCTCACCCGCAATCCTTAGCTTCTTCGGGGTGACAAAGCCTAGACACTTTATAATATTTATTTAAAAAAAAGACCCACCATCGACTGCGAGTCGGTCTCGCAGCTCCTGCTGCAGTCGTGAGTGGCGGTCCTCGAGCTCCAGCTCTTTGGCCCGAACGAGGAGTTCTTGTTCGTATCGACCCAGTCGCGTCCGCTCGTGAACCAACGCAAACCATTCCTGCATCAGTTCCGCTTCATCTCTCTTCATGTCCGTTGCTGCAATGCAAAAATTGACAGAAACTCACATCTGGAAGCCCCTCAGGACCGGGAATCGCCCAAAGAATCACTAAATGTACTCCCAAGAATTCAAATTCACCATGAAATCCACCAGAAAATGAATTCTCCACCATCTACTTAGAAAATACGTCACGGGAGCACGCCGATCGATCGTTAGTAATGTGGTCTTTGACCACACCGAAGTACGTGGATTGTGTAATACGAGAGGAAGGAGTGAGAAAAACTAATCTCAGAGCGCACTTTTGCTACTTCGCACGGTATAATTTTTTTTCCCAAAACAAAAGCTGCCCATTGCAGCCGGAAAAAAAAAATTGCAAGGGTCAGTACACCGTGAACGGCACTTCCAAGCATTTTTCATATATTTTGTCTACCAATCTGGCAATTTGCGAAACGTACTCGAGTATTATTAGAGCAGATTACGTACGTGAGTTTGATCGGAAGAGACGGGAACAACGAAAAGGTATACGATGACAGATGATCAATGCAGAGGCAAAGAAAAAGTGAGAGGTCAGTTAGGGCAATAGGACCGGAGTAAAACTTCAATCGTATCCACCTTCCATACAGCCCACTAGATTTTTAATTAAAAAAAAAGTCATCTGACGGAAATTTATAGAAAGAAATTCATCTCTCGCGTGAGTTTCGCCATGTGTTGTGACATAAGACACAAGACAAAAGCACGGCTATTAATTATCCTTATTCTTTTTCTGCTGAACCACCGTGCAGTTATTACAAAAGGCCCCATCCAACATAAATCACCCCGACTGATGCGACGAGTCGACACAATACTTGGCTTGGAACGCTTCCACAAAGGGCCAGAGTACCTCGGCCCGATCCCACGGAAACCGAAAAGCGAGCGCTGCAGAGCGCCAAATCGTAATCGACAAGGGCTAGGGCTCGGAAGGAAATAGCACGTTCCGCGAGAGACATGAGGCATCGTAAAAAGCATCGTTCCACAGCGCAAGTGCAATGCATGGATGCGTTCGGTTAACGCAGAAAATTTCAACTACCTCATGACTCCCCTGGATCAATCTGCGTTCCATTCAAGAGCAAATACTGTCCCTTCACTTCTCCCCCATAGGAAGCTCGGGAGAGAAGGGAGATCTACCTTGTCTGCCTTTACAATTCTTGCAGCGATTTTTACATTAGAGCTTCTTGACAATCCATTGTGAAAATTCAGATATTCCTTGGGTCTACACATGCAAGCCGTCTCGCATGAAATTTAAAAGTGTGTGAAAACGCTTTTTCATTCGTATGACCGGGAGTAAGCTAGGGTAATATTAAGGCAACTGGACTACAGTACTCATCTATTTAATTGCAAGCATGTAATAATGCTAGGTGCCACTGCCACACTAGTACGTTGCATGTGTAACCCCCATCCAAATAACCTTCGCGCCATTGCAAAGATGGCACCCTCGACAGTGGTTTTGAAAAAAGACACAACTGAGAATCGTCCCGACATGCACAACTTCCGTTCGGATGCAAAACGAGAATGCCGCTTACAAGTGCCTTCCCCTCGGAGAGCCTTCTCGACGTTCACCCCCCTCTCCTCGACTTCCTTCTGCTTCACTTCCAATTCTTCCAGCTGCCGCTGGATCTCCTGGGCCATCCTCAACCTAGGCACACATGCGGCAGGGGCCGTCGCTCGTTAACATTTTGGTCATTGTCGATATTTCGAAATTTTGAGAGGGTACCACTCACCTCTTGAGTTCGGCCTGGCGAGCGGCACGCTTGATGAGCTTCTCGTGACGCCGGCTGACGTTCCCGCTCAGATCCGTCGCGTTGGGCTCTTCCTCGGGGTGCATGGCGAGGGTGACGGAAGTATCTTTGCCACTCGACGCAGAATCTTCCAGACTGAGGCTCTGTACGCTCTGGTTGAGCTCTGCAGGTGGGCTCTTGGATCGCGATTTCGCCTTCTTCTCGTGCTTGTGCTTCTCCTTCGCCTTGAGCCGGAAGGGGGATGCCCTCTCCTTCAGCTTCGGACTCTGATCCGATGCGACGGGCGGGGGCGGAGACGGGCTGCGGGATTTCACCTTCTCCTTGGACTTCTCGCCCGAGCGGCTGAAGAGTCCCTGGACCATCTGTATGATGCTTCGCCTCCTCTCGCGGTCCTTCGACTTCTTCTTCTTCTCGCTCCCGGCGTTCTTCTCGTCCTGGGGCGGAGACGCCACGGCCTGCTCTCCTCTGCTGGGGGAGTTGGGACACGAGACGCTGCGATTCGGGTTCGTCTGTCCCGTGAACACGGACATGCTCTCGATCATCTCCATCTTGCTCTTCCGGTCCTCTTGCAGCTCTTTCAGAGGCTGAAGTTTCCACGCACTTTCGGAGATCTTGCGCTTGATGCCGGTGAGCTGCTCGTAACGTTCGTCGACCTTCTCGTTGTCTTCGTTGTCACTCAACGAAGCACTCTTATGGAGACGATCGAGAACGTTCCCAGACCCCATGCCAAGGTCACTCCTCATCATGGATCGATCTCTTCCGTGCCTAAACATCACAGTCTTCCCAGACTGTAATGAGCTTGCCAAATCAGGTGACGAAAACAGATTCGGACTATTTCGGAACATGTTGGGGTTTGTGAGAGGAGTCTCTGGTAGAATTTTCCGCGTGGGGCTGTCCACAGGAGAGGCGTGGTCTTTACAGGGCGGAATCGCTATAGATAGGGGCCGTACAAGATTGGTTCTTGGCTTCATGCTGGTCATGGGAGTGTAGAAATCCTCCAATTCCTTCCCCAAAGGAGCGGATGTCTTGCGTGGTGTCGAGAGCTCGTTTGCTTCGGCAAAGACATTCCCAGTCGAGGCTCTTCTTTCAAGGCTCTCATTGAAAGGAGACACGGAGTTCCCTCGATTCCCCGAGCTCAAGGAAGTCCGAGACCCACGGCGGTCCTTTCTTTCGGGACTCTTGATTTTTGACATCACCATCTCACGAACGAGGTTGCCCTGCTTCTCACGATCCTTCTCAAACTTTTTCAACATCTTTTTCTGCTTCTCACTGTCTGGAGTTTCGCTGGATGAAGACCTGTCTTCATCTGACTGCATGGACAACTTTCGAAGGGAGGATTTGCGAATATTGATGGAGTCTCGGATGCAGCCAAAGGGACTCTGCTTTGAGAACCAATGGATGTCCGTATTGTTGAGGTCCAGCTCATCATCGTCTTCACAAGAAACAACATCTCCCTCAGGGGTGTAGAAGCTATCCTTGGCTTCATCCAGACTGCTATTTAATAGGGCCTTATGATCTGGAGTGATATTTATTTCTTCATGAAAGGGGGTCTCTTTCTTAACTTCATCACAGATGACCTCATGAGAAACGGCGCAAGGAATCTGTACAGCCTCTTCCTGAGAAGTAGGGGTGACTTCAGTGATACCACTTGATGAAGCTGTTTCACTCGTGGAGCCAGGTCCCTCGCCCGAATACTGGTAACTATGAGAGGGCGATGTGCCAGGACTATCGGGGATGCACAAAGGCTCGGATGAAAAGTCTGAAACCTGACCTACTGCGTCGGGACCAGAAGTTGTTGTACTGGACTCATCTGAAGCTTTCAAAATCAGTTCCTCATTGATAGCTTCCACCTGATCCTCAACCACAAATTCAGCCGAGAGATCTTCAAACTCTTCAATGATTTCATCACAGACAGGCACTTCAGCAAGCTTGTGCTCAGGAGTCATACTGAGAGGAGAACCTGAATCCATGAAGGCGATGTCATCCAAGTTCAGCAATGGTGCTTTCCTCGAGTCATCTGATAGATCTTCAGGTACTTCCTGGATGGCAGCAGACCTCTGCATGTTGAAGTTAGGATCAATCTTTCCTTCCACATTGAAGTCATCTTCCATGCTCACCAGGTCATTGTCAATGGCCCATTCAGCATCATCCATTTCAATTGGGAGTGACTCTGGACCTGATAATGAAATCAGACCTCCCTCAATTGACAAAAATGGATCACACGTCACATCCTTCCCTGTCGACTGAGCTGCCACATCACTGAAGTGGGCTGAAAGCTGGTCAAGATCTTTGGTCGTGTCTGATGCCAGAAGCTTGTCGAATTCATCATCAATGGAATCTTCATTGGTCATGGTGATATCACCGAAAATCATGCTGGCGTTAGCAGGTTGCAATTCTAGGTTGTCTTTGTAATTGCCATTGAAAGCTGCATGATGTGGAATGGGATGTGGTTGCTTGAATACCACCTCAGGTATTTTATCGGGCTCTTCTTTGGAAGGCAGAACTTGCTTCACTTCTGTTACATTTTCAGGTTCTTCAGAAATTGGTTTAGGTGAATGAGGTGTCATATTATTGTGTTGGGAGCCATCATGAGATGGTTGTCCATCGAGCACCTCATCTCCAGGAAGTTCTTCATGATCTGATGTAGGTAAGGGAGTTGTGATTGCTCCATCACTTGGTTTGCCTTGAAGTTCCACAGTACTTATTGGCTGACCTGAGATGGGTTCAACATCTTTCACCAGATCACCTTGGACTTCTTCTACATGAGTCACTTTTTTCTCTCTACCCTCTCCAATCTCTTCATCTTCAGCACTTTCATCACCATTCACAATGACAGCCTGAGCAAAATAAATATCCTCTTTCTGAGCATCTTTCTGACTAGATGAAGTGGGGTGAGCAGAAACAGTTTGCACTGAGGGAGGAAGTCCTGGGGGAGTCACTTTTGCACTTGGGGAAGGACTGTCATGAGGGAGGCTGCCGTTCGCTATCACATGTGCACCCGATTTGAGAGAAGCCAAAGCTTGATTCCGAAGACCAAGCGTGGTTGAGGACCGCAGAAAGGCCTGCATTGCAGGACTTGGTTCAGGAGCAGGATTTAGCAACTTCTGACGCTCTGATATCCTGCTGAGGAAGTCCTGAAATCGATCACCATTTGGAGCCTGGACTGCTTTATTGATCTGAACAGATACATTGTCCACACTAGCAGATCCTAGGAGCATGTAGTTTTTCTTCAGTTCCAAAGAACGTTTGGCGGCCAGATTCTCTGTGGATGCTGTTCTCACGTCTTGCACATTGGCATGTAACAGTTTCTTTTTCCTGGCTGGGTCAATGTCTCTGGTTTTTTCACGAGTTTGCACGGGGCTTTGCCTCTTCTTGGCAACTTCTTCCTTCTTTTCCTTTGTTTTTGTCTTATGGCCAAGGTCACCATTGAGACGACACTGAACCTTGATTACAGGCTCCTGAATGCCAACATGTCTGATGCGCTCTTCCCTGGGATCTGTATTACGTTCAAACTCAGAGTCAGTTTCAATGTCTGTGCTCAGATCTTCATCACTTGATGTTGCCTCAGATTCCTTGTCCTTGTCCTTATGCTTATCTTTGCTCTTGTCTTCATCCTCATCTTCCTCTTCATCCTCATCCTCGTCCTCATCTTCATCTTCCTCATCCTTGTCATGATCCTTCTCCTTGTCCTCAATTTCTTCATTTTTCTGCAAAAAATGGAAAGAGCAAGTTAAATTAGTTAAATTCATAAAAAACTGTGAATACATTTTAGCAGGATATAATTGATCATACCTCTTTTGCAATATCATTGGCAGGTTCATGCTGCATGTCCTGGTCATTGCCATCTCCTTCTGTTGCTGTTTCACTCTCTTCTGGAGAAACGGAGCACAAGAGAATAAGTGCTGGATAATCAATGATATGCACATACATTTTTTGACTTACATATAAGTTGGATTTGATGTCATAATGTGATATGATAATAAAATGAAAATATGCTTTCATGGGTACATTTATCAATGCATTCTCATATGAAGCTAACAATATATTGATTCAAGCTTAAGAACTGCAAAACCACAATACAATAAAACATTCACCAAAATCTCCTGGTGTCCCTGATACCAAACATGACACACTCACAGTACAAATCAATGCCAAGCATATAACATTACAAATACCACATACATGGGAGAGTTGACTGCAGCTAGCCATCTGATATTCAATTCATGAATGCATGCCATTTGCATCTGTTGCATATCACCCTTATCTAGCACTACACCTTATTCGTGGACAATAAGAAGAATATTTCAGCCATTTAGAGCTTGAATGAAGCTTACCTTCACATTCCTCATAACTGGACTCCTCTCCCTCTTCTTCAGTGCTCATGGAGGCATCTTCCTCATTCAGTCCTTCATTTGTATGCCTCCTCTTCCAGCGTTCAGCAAGTTTTCGAGTCTCATCTGCATCCAAGGCAAGGGGCATGGGTTCTTCCAAGCTCTCCTCATATTCATCATCTGAATCTGAATCTGAACTGTAAGGCAAGCGTCAAAAACCTTTTATCGACAACTGCATTTGGATTACCCTAAAATCAGCTTATTCTACACCATATTACCTGAGGTCTGACGCTTCATCTTCTGTGGCCATGGCAGGTCCAAAGTTGTGATCAGTCCATTCATCTTCATCCATTTCACTGAGGACCTCTTCCTCAGACACCAGCTCCAGTGAATTTTCGAACTCTATTCTCTCTGGGGTGAGGACACGTTGCATTTCATCTCCCTCAAGGTACCTTGGGCTTACAGCTGCCTTTTCTGGGGTGGCCCCTACATCCTGTTAGAAGAAAAGAAAGCTCTTCAGGTAAAACTGAGGATCAGAAAAAAAAACCAACAACTCCAGCGATGATGCCAATTCATGATTACCATGGAATCTTCTGGAGGAGGGGGAAGATTCTCCTTGGAAACAGCAGCAATCTCTTCAGCCTTCTGCTGATATTTATGTCTTGAAGCACCACTGGCAAACCCATAGATGTAATGCTGCATGCAGAGGAACTTCCCATTCTCACCATCATCACGGTCATAGGCATAATTTCCTGAAACATACAATGTGTCTACTGCTCACAAGGCACTATGGAGAGAGGCTTAAACAAACTTAAAGCCATGACTCTGAATCTAAGCAAACTGTACCTAGTCGTAGTGTTGTCGAGCAATACTCGCAGCGGAAGCATCCTCTATGGAAGAATCGTCCTTCAGCACTCAAACGTTCCATCAGGTAAACTCGCTTGACACAGAAATGGCACGTTTCAGATGCACTACTCTTGGAAGTGAAGATCAGTGGCTTGGAATTCTGTGATATATAGTGAATGTTCCATGATGAAAAAAAAGCAACAACAAAATGAACTGTTCGGACCAGAAGGAAGGGAACTGACACTTCGCTGCAAGGGCACTTTCTCAGGCACTTTCTCTTCCTTAAGCTTGGATGTGAGCTGTTGTGCCATGGCTGAGACCTTGTTGGCACCTCTCTGACCCACCTCCATTGTACTGCCTTCCCGCAATTTCTTTTCCAACAGACGGAGCTTTTGGTCGATTTCCTGATATTTGGGATATGGCTCCCCTTCCTCTTGTGCTTCCTTCTTTTTTGCCTTTTGCAGCTGAGAAACACATAATCTCTTGCAATCAAAGCCATAAATAGGATGTGCATGAATGGTCAGAGATCTTACCTTGTCATCAAAGGTATCCTTGTTCCACTTAGGAACCTTCTCCTCACGATGAGACCTTTTTGCACCAATCTTCTGGTCCTGTATCTTCTGTTCCAACATCTTCACATTCCAATCCCCCCGCTCAATCTTCCCTATTGCTCGAATCATGTCCTTTGGTTTCTTGGGACCCAGGATCTGATCCTGCAGAATCAGGCATTTTTATTGAAAAAAATAACAAATCATGGAGTAAACATTTAAACTGGCATTTGTTGCACATAACTCTTCTTTTCAATAAAAACTCCTGGTTCCAAATTTGGTCCTCACACTTTGTAAACTCAAAGTAGGCCCTCACACTTTCAGTGCTTGTGGTTATACCAAAATTGAGCATGGGTCTCCAGGATTTATAAGAACTTTAGGACTGGCTTCCTGTACTTATAAAAAAAAAAACCCACATTATATATAATTGAAGATTTACTAATAGAGCTAAGCAAATGAAATACTTATTTTTGCATTTACCCTACCAGACCTACCTCTCTATCAAATCAAATTAAATAGTGTTCAATACCTCCAACTTTCCAAGAGTCTTGAAAGCCTTCAATTATTTTTTGAGCATGCATCCAAACAGGAGAGAAAAGACTGGTGCTGGAGATTAGAGGTGAAGGTATTTATTTTGACATATCCTAAGCATTTTAATGAATTAAGGTGGCTATCAGAATGGGCTTCCTGCTTACACTTTGAGATGAACCATAGGTATAAATACAATTTTCAAAATGCAGATGGACTCATAAAGGTATTATCATCTGACCTGCAATTTCTCTTCCAGATGCTGCACCTTTCCACTGAGAGATCCTGCAGCTTGTGCTTCCTTCCGACTGAAAGCAATAAGGCGTGCCTGCCTAGTTTCTCGATCCTATGAGAAGCAAGCAGCACATGATCTTAGTCAATAAATTCTTACAGATATGCAGATGAAGTTGAAAATACTGCTTCCTAGTCCCATCAAGAATGTCTGTCATGTCAGAACAAACCAATGATTGCATGCAAAACTTACACACCAGCATGCAATTGGAAAAAACACGAATGACAAAAAATTAAAAGGAAAGTAATTATTTTGGCTACCACAGCATCAACACAAAACTCAAGAGAAGCCACTTGGTACAGAACACTATCTGCTCCACATAGTTCATGCCCAGAGAGTTGTATCAGAGCTCACAGGATCAAATAATTTCTGTTCCAAGGATCGAACTTTATCATCGAACTTTGAAGTGGTCTGGCGATACAGAAAGAGGGTAAAATCCTCCATTTCCGGTAATGGATCTTCAGGAGAAGTCACTCGGATTTCATGCACATCCTTGAAATAATTCTGGAGGAGCTGCATGGATTTTTGATACTGTTGCGAATAGTCATGATGGCGATGGGATGACTTCTTTCCCCCAGAGTGTCCTGATTGCTCCGACTGAGAATGTGAGCACAAAGATCCCACAAAATTCATGGGATAACTCAATGTTGCTTGGCAAGAAAGTACTGTATCAGAAATCATTTAACATAATGAACGGCAAGAAAGTTGGAATCATCACAATGAAGCTCTTACTTATCTCAAATTTAGCCTGCAAAAAATTCTTTGATAAGAGGGTAGGCTCAGTTCTTGGTGCATACCTGTAATTCTAAGTGAAAAACTGATCTTTAATCACTCCCATAGAAAGGAAGTAAGTCTATGAAGATGGAATTCCCAGAGCACTTACATGTCGTGACTGATCATGAATGCGTCTCTTCCTGGCCCTCCGTCCAGCAGAAACAGCTTCTTTCTTCTCCAGTTCCAGTGAATAGCGTTTTCTCGTGTTGATCCGAGAGATCTTGTTGAGAAGCGAAAGGCGCTGGCCTGGAGATGGCCTCTTGCTTACTGGAGATGGTGTTACATGTGTTTGCGAAACTCCCTCTGCACTTTCTTCCAAACACATTTCCATACCCTTGGTGACAAGCAAAAAGAGAACTTTATATGTCTCCTGCTCTCTAAATACCACCCTAAGACCAAAGCAATATTAAAGGTAGAATCTTTAGGGGGCGGTAAAGAGGATGATGGAGGTCATCAGATGTGGATCTCCTCTTCTATTTGTTCATTATAATGTTTAAATTCTAATAAGATTAGTAACTGCTTTTTCTTTCCATTTTCCATCCAAAGGGAATTTGGGGGCCTCCATTAAGGTTGATAAGGCATTCTAGGTATTCACAGCCTCTTGCAAGAAGTGCAACAGTAGATACTTATGATATAGATCCTCCAAGTCAATTGCAGAGATTTGATAGTCTGTCTTTCCAAGCAAGGCCAAATGAGACATAATTAAAATCAAATGAGGAATCAAAAGATGTGCAGGGGCTTGTTCCACTGAAGATTTACAAGTAATGAGTATTTACAAGGGTTGTATCTTAGTTGTGTCAACAGTCAATGGAAGGGTTGAATAAGAAGACATGATTCTTGTAAATACTAAAAAAGCAATCTCATAAAAAAGCAGTCTGCAATAGCCTAATTGTGTCAAATGTGCATTTATAGTATCTATAAGAAAATATATTGTCATGCAATTCAACATCATATGGATGCTTTTCCAAACGATTACACCTACTGACAAAATCATAGGATGGATTTGCAAAATTTAGCTTAAAGATGCCATTCAAGAAAAATGGGAGCTGTTAGTGTTCAAGTATGTGGATACATAACACACACAGAAAACTCACAGAAAGAGGTCAGCCCGTATGTGAGGGGTGAGGACTAAGGCACACAAGCTCAACACAGGCTAAAGCACAAGCTGTTTCCTCTTTATATGCTTTTCCTCTTGACACATTTGACTTTCCATAACAGCTACTGAATATCCGTATCATATTTGACTAGGGAAAGCTAAAGTAAGATAGATCAAAGTACCTGTAAGTCTCTTGGCACTTGGGGGATCTCTCCCCGGAAGCACTCGTACACTTGCGACAAGTAGGACATCATTGTCAGCTTGTCAGGCACTTCACATTGCTCCATCTCCAATCCTGTCATCACCTGTTGGTAAAGAAGGGTATTCACCTACAATGTCATCCTCTCAACATAGTGGTTTGAGTTAACACAAGAGCACATCACATTGATAATTATAAAAAAAATTGACCAGAAAGAATCTAGTGTTCACTTGAAGCAGGAAACCCTCTGGGGCAAAATAAATTAATCACAGAAAAGTTGACTTAGTCCTCAAAAAATCAAGTAAAAAGTAAGCAGCTTACAGGTGGGATGCCAAGCTCCTTTTCACATATGTCAAATGCAATTTGATTATTGCGGGCCACATTTTCAGGCTGAAACTTTTGGAAATCAATGAGATCAGGCCGATAACGATGGAGAATTGCACACAGAACCAGGCCATTCTTCAGAGAGGAAAGAAATTCCTGCTCATCAAGGCTCAGCTGGAAAAAGGGAGCCACTTGCTTCTGGAGCCATAATACCAGCGTGTCAGGGTGAACCATGGAATCTGAACAAATATAAAGAACCAAGATGTAATGAAAATTGAGAGCAAGTAATTACAAGGTCACATATTTGCACCTATCTGGCACTAGATTTGGAACAGAACCTCAAACATGCAATAAAGTCAACAAAGCATTCCACATGCTTCCACGTTTTGTCCTACCTGCCACCAGTTGCCCAGCAGTCCAGAGAGAAGTAAAAGGTAAAAGAAGTAAAAGAAGTAAGAGGTAAAAGTAAAAGGTAAAAAAAAAAAAAAAGTAAAAGTTCTCCTCTAATGTATGCAATCAGAGAACACTGCATTCACAAGACAGCAAAGCTTTTACCCAGAACACTAATTGTCCTCAAGTTAGAGCTTAGCAGTATTAGGATGTAAGGCGAGAGAACTCTAAATCCAACTCATCAATTGTTAGCCATGCCCATAGAGCAGTTAAGGAAGTTGAACTTGAACTTCCAGGTGTGAATGAGTAAGACCAGTGGTTCTCAACAAATAAAGAAAGGACATTAGTAAATGACTCAGTTAGCATGAAGAAATAATGAAGCTGAAGGTCATGCAGGCAAAAGACCAATGCTTAACAACAGAAACCAGTACCTTTCCCTGGGTTTAGAGAGGAGAGCATGGAAAAAAAAAGGAGATGGAGATGAGTCACAAGGGGACTTCCAAAAGTATCAGAGGCATAGAATCCTCCGAAATATTATATAATAGAAATGCAGCAAAGAGAGACAAGTAGAGAAAGATTGAGATAGTATACCTCTTCTTCTCTTCTTCCGAGGAGCCTCCACAGTAGGAGTGACAGAAACCAGTGGAGCCATCAAGTCCACCGAATCAGGGGCATCCGTGTCAAACAGGCCACGGACTTGAAAAGGCAGCACTGAACCTGTCACTAGATTTGGATACCTGCAACATAATGCAAAATGATCAATTAGTTCTCTCCATTGATCAAGCACTACTTCGAAAAACCAATAAGCAAAATATATTCATTACCTGGTTTGAGGCTCTAATGTATAGGAATTGAAATCTTTGTGGAGGTTTTCAGGAGTGGTCTGAGCCAAGAGACGATAAATAGCTTCCCGTTCAGCCAAAACATGCAGGGGAGTTGTGTTGCCAAGAGCCCAACTCCGCATCATCCAGCACGCATCAAAAGAGCTCAGGAATCCTCTTGCACACCCTGACCCCGTTGGCCAGAAGGGCTGGAAAGAAAGGGCAAATATCATGCATTGCAATGCATTGCATTTGATATGCATCTTGGAATAAGTCTCACCTCCAGAAGACTGTCTCCCACAAGACACATGAGGAGTTTGTGCCCTTTTCGATCCACCATGCGACATGCATTCTCAGCAGCAAACATGGACGTGAAGTCAAACATTGCAATGTCAGGCTGCCCATAGTGGTTCAATGCAAAGTCCAGGCTTGGGAGTTGGTACTCAGTGGAAAAGTTGGCTGCTTCCTGGGCATAGTCCAGCAAGGCCTCCCGATCCACATTTTCTGGTGCCAACAGCTTTGCAGTGTCAGGATAATCCTGTTAGAAAAAAGCAAAACATGCTCATAGGGAAGAATCAATGGCTATTAAAAACATCACATTGTCATTGTTTATCACATTGTCAAATGAACAGAGACAGGAACTCACATGAAGGATGACTCCCTTGCAGATGAGACTATGCTTCTTTGCTGTCATCACAAAGTAGTGAGTTTCATCCTTGTAGTAAACAATATTTTCCAAGTCTATCCCAGTAGCCTCATTCAGGTCCTTGAAGAACTTTTGATTGAAGATGAATGCCACTCCACTGATCTCCTCCACTCGGGCCTCTGCTTCTGTATGCCGATTGATAAAATTTGCCGTGATGGCAATAGCCAGCCTCCCACGGAACTCCTTTCTCTTAAAACCTGAAATGACACATTTCCTCAATAAATACCTCTAGTAATGATGATCTTTATAGTACCTTCTTACTTCACTTCTTAAATAACGTTTTGAATTCCATCAATGCAGACCTTGGAGGGTATTCCTTTTTCCATCAGCACCAACCAACACATCAAACTCATACTGTGCAGCAGGATGGTCATGGGGAGAAAGTCGTGCCATCCAACCATGACCTAAGAAATAGAGAAGAAATAACTGGTTATGCGAAATGCTTTTGTAAGTAAATTTCAGGCTTGAATTCAAGTGAAGACAATCAATTGGACTGACTCTCCACAGACTGATCAGAAGGTTCAACCAGATCTTCAAAGGTGACATTCTCATGGACCTCCACACCCAAGAGGAGTGCAACTTTGAGAAGAATGCACTGGAGCTGACGGATGCCTAAAGAACACAATTACCAAATATTGGAATGGGTTCTCAGATTCTTGAAAACAAGACAAGTCCTGCTAACAAAGTGAACTTACTAATGTGATCAATGGCACCAGCACAGAATTTCCCATAGAACTTCTTGGCCCCTAATGCTCTAAGATCATGGATTACAAAGGGCCACAAGTGGATGACATTGTTGCGGGAAAATCTATCTCTCTTCTCCACAACCACCACCTTGGCACCAAGCAACTGGGCTTCTATTGCTGTTCTCAACCCACATGGTCCACACCCAATCACCAACACCTGAAGATAGATAGACACACAATCAGTAAAATAATAGCTTATGAAAAAATCAAAATTTATAATATGTGCACTGATTTAGGAACAATCTCCTACAGATTAAATAAGAGATAAGAATGACAAACCCTCAGATTGGCACAGGATTTCCCCTTTCCATAGCATCGATGGCTGGCTCTCTTCTCAAACTTACTCCATAATGCCTGGGCTTTCCATGACTTCAATTTGCTCTGCACAAAAACAAAAAGAACCACAAATTAAAAATAATCATGCAGCTAAAAATAATCATTTCACCAAAACAAGTAAAAAATTACTTCAAAATGTCATGCATGGATTTCCAGGAATTCTTTACCTTGAGAATGGGGTAAAACTGGGGGAAGTGTGTGGGTCTTATCCGCAAGACATGACAGAGGTGCCGGAAAGTCCCGAGAATGGACTTGAATGTCTGGGCAGCACTGAACTGGTCATATAGGGCTGCTGCCGTTGCAAGATCTTCCTGAGGGACATTCCCTTGCTCCACAAGTACCATTGTGGGTCACACATCACAGCAGGACCTCCACCTGAGTCAAATTTGTCAGGTCCTGCCCCATCAGATGGTCAGAGAAACAGGTCGTCTGGTGATACCTCTCATGAATCACATAGCTGTATCAGTATCTTGGTGGAGCAAAGGTTATTCTCCCAAGCTTTTTCATGACCTCAAGGGTCAAGGAATCTAAAACAGAAATGAAAACCAGGGAATCAAGGATCAAGAGTCCAAGGCAATATATGAGACATGAATGCTAAATCATTCTATTGCTAAACACAAAAGCATAGATTTTCAAAATCGAGGAGCTCATCTTGCACCCCTGATAGACCTATAACAATTTTACTAAAACAAAAATTTTCACCCAAGCATTCCACTCTTTGAAAGTTCAAAAAATTTGCTGAGGCACGAGGTAGAGATGAAGAAACGAGGAGGAGCAGCACTCATGAGGCCTGCATCAAACAGTTCCCAACAAGAAATGAAAGAGGACCCCCTAAGATTTTTTTTTTTGCTTTTTGCATGAAAGAGGATTAAAAGGGTCTCAAGAGGGGGCTTCTGGATGTGTATGTTTGCAGCCTTGAGTGCTCTCACTTTTAATTATGTTACTATCTTTCTTTAGAGATTTCCTTTAATAACCCAACAGTTGCAGCTTCCAACTATGCCAAGGGCAAGCTAATTCTTTCTCCAATGACTCCAAGCAAAAAAAAAGCCCACAACCCAATCACCAGATTGGAAACTCATTGAATGTATACATTGACTTTACAATGTATAATTGGTCATGGAAATTTATGACTGAAATTATAAGTAGAAAGGGTACATTTCCAATAATTGCTAATGGACTTCAATTACTTTACTGTCAATATCTGGCTGAGATATTCTTAAATTTCTTTAAAGTGACTGATGCTCAATTAAAACAAATTACTTGCTCTCGAATGAACTTTTTACAGCAAGAAATGACCTTCAATAAACATCCCTGGAGGAGCGACGATAGTTTTTCTGCTGCCACAAAGGGTAGGAAATTCAGTACTTACGTGGGATACAATAATTTAAAGCAGACGTTTATTAATATAATATTGATCGAAATTCTTAAGGTAATTACAAGATATTTCACCATTTTGCGGAATAATTTATAATAGTTCAAAATTAATCAATTAATTAATGTGATTAGCTCTGCCAATGCCAACTTCATACCTATCTCACTCAGACGATCCTTCCCCCCCTCCCCCTGTAGAAAACAGATCTTGGGAGTTCAAGGGTTTCCCCAGCCCAACTACGGAAAAGCTTCAACCAGGTCGCCCTTTAATAACCTCTCAAATCGTACACTTCAATGCTCCTCCTCTACGTACTTCATTCGGTAGTATGACAGTAATATGTTTGCATCGGATGCTGAGGTTCGGATATAATAAAGCTTCAAGCACGAGGATTCCACAACAGGTGGTCGACGTCGGCTTTGGCGTCATTCATCCACAGTAAGCCGAGGCAATTCGTAACGTATGAAGGCTCCTCTCGATCATTAATTACAGCGTGCAGGTTCTGTTTTGCCAAGATTTAACGGGCCGCTCGAGGAAACCCTCATTTTATCATCACCGTTCTGCGATCGATCCCGCACTAGCGAGGCAGGATAGATTCCACCCCGTGTCCATGCCAAGAAAAATGGAAAAAATAGATGTCTGGTGGCGAAATGCTCGAATCGCTGGGAACGAGGTGCAGCCCGAGGAAAAACCAGTTCACTCCTGACCGAAAATGAATGATTCATCATCAACGTCCGGACTAGTCACTCTCGTCCGCTGGATCGATTTTTTTTTTTTTCCCGGGATCCTCCATGCATAACGGGTGGGAGAGGGGGAACAGGGACCCAACAAAGAGTACGCCCGTAGCCCAAGGGGTGCGCCTGGATCACCGTGTGAATCACCCCGCGATGAATCTCGAGGAAACACCCATATCCAGGAACAGACCTCGCACACATGATTCACGACACCAACCGATCCTCCTCGGCCGTGGCCGTGGCAACTGGCCAAGAGGATCGACGCAACTCGACCACTCGACGAACACCATGTCATCACGGCGAAGACGAGGAGCGCCGACCCTCTTTCTCCGAACGATCCCATCGAATGAGGCCACTTCACAGATAGGCGAGATCGGGACGGGATTCGGGAGAGAACCGGCACGGCGTGGCGCAACGACGCCTCACGCCGAAGACAATGGAAGCATAGCCGGTAAATGACTTTCTGGCTCAGCGACACTGGAATCCCCCCCCCCCCCGTGCAGCTTAACAACTGGGAAACGCTCTGCCTCTTCCGGTTCCGGAAAGAAAAACGTCACACACGGAGATAGATCAAGAAGATGGAAGCCGCAGGAAACACGGCGCTTTGTTCGCAAAAACCCACGAGAGCGGTCTGACGAGGCGTGGGGCACGTGCTTTCCCTTTTCCCCTTCCCCCAACGGTCGAAACTCCATTTTTGGAGACGAAACTGCTCCTCCTCCAGAAACACGAAAAGGGCAGGGGGGGTCACATCAATTGAACGGATTGCGTCACACACACACTCCACTCACTTCACCATGCAAGAGCCTAATGCATGCGTTGCACGTCCAAAGAGAGGAAGGTCGTTCACTCTTCCCCTTTCGATTTAGGCCTCCACGATAGTACTACCGTTTCACCCCCACCTGTTATCTCATCCTGGCGTAACCGGAGATCCCACAGAGATGCAGCATCTCCCCGGCCTCGTTTCCTCTCCACTAACACACACTCCCCCCGACTCCTTTTCTTCCCCCTTTTTCCCCGGGAACGAATGCTACCCCCACGGCGCTGCTCAACGAGCCGTTGAGACTGCTCCAGGCCAGGCCACAACAACAAAACCGCGATTAGATAAAAAGTTTCCAGTCGTGAACAGAGAGAACCTCCCCATTCAGTCGGGGGAGGAACAAAGATGATGGGCGTCGGCCCTCCTCGCTCCTCGCCACACTCGCAAAAAGAAGGCACGAGAGAATCCTCGCCGTCTGGTGAGAACATGACAGACACAATCCTCGAGAGCTTCTCGTTCTCTCGGATGCATATCACGATCCATAACGGCTGCAACGAGCCCATCTCTCCCTTCTTTTCTTCTCCTTAGATGAGGGCGGATTTTTCACGGACAGATGTTCCTGTCGACGAGAGCTTACGAGAACAAGTTTCCTGCCCCTTATTCGGTCATGATCGGAGAATTCATTCGGCTCGGACAGGCCCCATAAATTCCCCGACCTGTCACGCGCCACTTCCAAAATCAACTGCCCTCGATTCGCGCCAAGAGAGGGTATTGTACGGAAAAATAAATAAAAGGCAAAAAAAGAAACCCCCGGCAGGATGAGGTCACCGCTCCTGCAGCATTAGTGAAACCATCACTGGAAGTTCCTCGATGTAAACTGCCGGCAAGGATCCTTCAGGACTCTCACCAGACATGACAGTCATGATAAATGAAGTCTAATGATACATAGGCAATTCCCCCTTCGGCCCGCGTTGCATTTCCATAAGAATTTCCCTCCACGTGATCATAATCGTATGCAAGGCTCACGAGAGGGAGAGAGAGTGGGAAAATCCAATCGTGAGAGCCAGGTGATTTTTTATTCCCGCCTGCCACATGACGTGGAGAAGACGAGGGCGAGATAAGACGTATTGTTCACCGGTTAATTCTGCCCCCGTCGTACAAGTAACAGGAGTCACGTGTCTGACCTTTTCCCTCCTTCCCCGCGATCCCATCAAGCATGACGTGCAAGAATGGATGGCGCAAAGAAGTAAGAAAAAAAAAGGATAAGGCGAGAGAAAAAAAAAAAGAGTTAGAGTGGGGGTTTCGGGCAGTCCCGAACCGCGTTTACAGCATACAGTTCCTCGAGACTCTTCCCAGGGGAGATTCCCATGGTCACCGTGTATGAGATGCGGATGGCTACTCCTGCCGGGTGTGATTTCATACTCGAGAGAGAACACAGATCGTGAACCCTCCAACCAGTGCATTGCCCTCGGGGGAAGAAAAAAATAAAACAGAAACCAGATTTTCATCTCCTTCCTCCCCTTTATGAATCTGCGACGGTATATAGACCGTATCAGCCTGAATGCATAATTCAAGATTCCAAGACGAAAAATGCATATATCAACACAACCATCGAATGTATAGCATGACTTTTAAAAAGGAACATTCTAGAGCCTGAAAAAATGGAAAGGAACGCCCTCCTTGGTAACAGGGTCATATTTCAACGCCTTCGGAAAGAATTACGTGTTAAACAAGGATTTCTCCACGGTGAATGCCCGTGAAAAACGTGCACTTTTCGCGTTCCCATAAAAACAAACACTGCATATTTCACGTTTCCATAACCCCAAATACCCAAGAGTTGGGATCCGCACTCCCAGACCATCAGAGTGAGCATGCGGGATCCCAGGAGGTAATTACGGCCAATTATCCTGATTAAATTCACGGAAGCGTACCCGATTACAGGACATTCAATCCCGAGGCAATTAGTGGTCGAGGGGGAAGGCCTTTGATGGGAGCAGACCGGCCTACATATCAGCAAGGATTGCAAACCAGTTTCTGATTAAATACCTATTTTTTTTCCCTCCCTCATCGGGATGGGGTTGGGAAGTTAAATGAAGCCAGAAAGGGGAAAGAGGCCAATGAGAAGCGAAATCGGGCTACATGCCAAGAATGGAGAGCCCGAAGGGGGGAAGGCCTGCCTGCATGAATGCCGTCCTTGAGAAAAATGATCCCCGGGCACTGGAAGAAGAAGCTCTATTCAAGGGACCGGACCTGCATGATGCGTCATGCAGCGAGGAGAGAAAAGGAGGGAACCGACACTCGACAATGTTAGCCCTGTTCCATCCTCATGGGAGTTCATCATTTCTCATTCTCGTCCTTGCCACTGCTTCCCATTCCTTTTACTCTCTTCAAATACCTTTTTTTTTCCCCGCCCTTTTCCTATTTATTGAAGCTTTTTTCTTCTTCCCCGAACAGTCTCAAACATTCCCGTCAGGAATAAAGACC